GTGTCCGGCGTGAGTTTGCCGGCCTTTTGGCTCGCCACGTACGCATGGGACATGCTCTTTTACTCGATTCCGTGTGGGTTTGGCCTTCTCGTGATCTATCTGTTTGAGATCACGCCGTTTACTGGAAAAGACTGTACTTCCTGCGCGTCGCAGCCGTTTGCGGCCGTCGCGGTCGTGTTCGTCGTGTTTGGGTTTGCGCTCTGCTCGTTCTGCTACTGCCTCACGTACTTGTTTCTGGACGGCGCGTCGTCGCAGACGTACGTGATCATGGTCAACATGTTCTTGGGGGTCGTGTTGATGACGATTTCGCAAGTGCTGGACGTGATCGAGACCACGACCGAGATCAACAAGGTGCGTTCGTCATGCCACTCGACAACTTTATCTTTGTCACACCTCATCGATCGTTCTTCTACTCTAGTCGCTCAAGTTCATCTGGCGCCTGTCCCCGCTGTTCAACCTAGGCAACGCCCTCAACAACTTGAGCTTTCAGAGCCTCCTCAACGGCCTCTTCTCGTCCACCAGCTCCAAGAGTTCGTTCGACATGGACGTAACGGGGTGGGAAATCGCGTACTTGGCAGTCGAAGCCGTCGTTTTTCCCGCGATTGCGATCGGGATCGACTATGCGCTGAGTTTTCCCAAAATCAAGGCCCTGATTGCAAAGGATCCCTTCGTCATGGATGGCCCTGCAACTGTCGACGACGATGTGAAAGCTGAGGAAAATCGCGTCGCGTCTGGTGCCGCCAACGATCACGCCGTCGTGATCAAGAACTTACGAAAGGTGTACAAAGGCGGGAAAGTGGGGCTCAAGGACTTGTCGGTCGCGTTGCCAAAAGGCGAATGTTTTGGCTACCTTGGCATCAACGGCGCCGGCAAAACCTCCACGATGAAGATCCTCACGGGCGACAGCCTCGCGACCTCGGGGTCCGCCATGCTCGGCGGGTTTGACATCTTGTCCCAACAGTTGGAAGTGCGCCGATTGATCGGGTACTGCCCCCAGTTTGACGCGTTGATCGACTTGCTGACGGTCCGCGAACATTTGGAATTGTTTGCGGCCATCAAGGGTGTCCCCAAGCAGTTTGTGAACGACACAGTGATGAAAAAGATGGACCAAATGAACTTGAACGACTTTGAGCACAAGCTGGCCGGGACGTTGAGCGGCGGGAACAAGCGCAAGCTGTCAGTCGCGATTGCCATGATCGGGTCGCCTCCGATCATCTTCCTGGACGAGCCGTCGACGGGGATGGACCCGGTGTCCCGTCGGTTCATGTGGGACGTCATCGCGGACATTTCGACCCGTAGCAAAGAATCCACGATTCTCCTCACGACGCACAGCATGGAAGAGTGCGAAGCGCTGTGCAGTCGCGTCGGAATCATGGTAGGTGGCGCGTTGAGCTGCCTCGGGAGCATCCAACATTTGAAGAACCGGTTTGGCGACGGGCTCATGATGCATGTTCGCGTGGCGCCCGTGCTGTCGGCCGACGTCGACCGCATGATGAGCGAGTCGTCGTCGTTTGCTGGCATGTCCACACTAACCAAGGAACGCCTTGCTGAAACGTGCGCGGGGCTGGGCAAGCCGCATCGCGCGGAACAAATCCACATGGATCATGCGACGGGGTATGTGCTGGCCGAGTCATTGGCGCGCAACGATTCGATTCGCGTGCACGACTTTTGCGCGTGGTGGTTGAGTGAAGACCGCTTCGACGCCATGGCGGCGTACCTGGGCCAGAGCTTTGGCGAGCCGAACGTGTTGCTGCTGGAGCGCCAGAACGACGTGTCGCGGTTCAAGTTGGTGGGCGCCAAGCACTCGCTGGCGCTGTCGAATGTGTTTTCGCTCATCGAACGGGCCAAACGAGACCTGAATATCAAGGAGTACACCGTGTCCCAGACTACGCTCGAGCAAATCTTCAACAACTTTGCGGCCCAGCAAACGCAAGAAAAGGGCGTCGCGCGCGGCGTCGAGAAGCTCGCGGGCATCGACGACAACTACCACGCCATGCATACTTAGATGGAATTGTGTAGGGCAAATGCGTGAGTGTTTAAGTCGATACTTCGTGAGATGAACGCCTCCGTCGATTGTGTACACTTTGGGCGAAGCTACAAGCCCAGTTCTGTCGTCATGCTGGTGCAAGTCACATCAAGATGCTTCTTCCTCGCACGCAGACGTTCGCCGTTCACCGGTTCATTCGATAGCGTCTGCTGATGCATTACGTCAGCGACAGGGACTTCACAACGAGTGCGGCACAATGCGATCGCGATGCACCCCACTCAATGCCTTGTTGTCAAAGTGTCGGTATTGCGGCACGGTCAGAACTCACGTCAGTCACATTGCGTATTCCGTTATGTGCTTGGCTCCGAGCTATTCAACGACCGCGCTTTCTCCGCCATCTATGTGATTGAACATGAACACTCGCACGTCGAAGGACTGTCGGACCTTCTCCTGGACTTGCTTGAGGCATTCCCAGCCTGCCAATACCTTTCGAGCGATCACTTCGGAGTCCTGAGAACCAAACATCGTAGTCAGTGAAAGGCACGATGCCATGGTCTACCGTGTCTAGGCGGGATTGTTCAATCTCCATGCGGGCATTCGTGCTCAATATCTTGGCCCTGTTTCGAGTCGCCATCACACCAAGAGGCAATCGCGTGAGACATACTTACCATGACTCTCCTTTCTCATTTGGCCACTGGAATCGCCGCGCAGTCCGAAGAATCTCGCGGTACAGTCGCAGAACTTCCGGCTTGGACTTGACGTGGCGAGTCATTTTCAAAATGAATCGGTTCAACACACTAATTGGGAGTTCACACTATTTCAACGGTGTCAAATCCCGTCGAGCAGGATGGCGTCACAAACGGAGGCCGACATGACGATCGTGCCGTTCTCGTACACAAGGTAGGAGCGGAACGAGATGTAATCTTATGTGTGCTCACGAGCTGTGTGTAGTCCTTTCCATGCAGGGCACTTAGACGCTGAGCGCTGGTTTCATTTGGACAATATCAGCATCCTCATCAAGCAAGCATGGAAACCCGATGGACGTGGCGGCACCGCGTTGGGTTTTGGAGCCCATGTGTACAACGCGGCGGTGATGCTCGCATTCTACATCCACAGATACGCCTTCCTCTTTATGTCCTTCTCCTAACGTCCTTTGTTGCAACATCACGAACCCTTCCATTGTCCGACATCGACGCGTGCTGGAGCTCGGCTGCGGCACGGGTTTGGTGGCCATCGCGGCTGCACATGCAGGTACGTCCTTCGATAGACACATAATTTAGTCGTCTGGAGCACTGCGTAGGAGCTCGTGAAGTAGTTGCGACCGACGGCGATGACCAAGTCGTGGAGTTGGCCCAACTCAACATCGACCTCAACACCCCTTCGGAAGCCTCATCAACATTTTCATGCAGCGCAAGGAAGCATTTCTGGTGCTTATGAACTTGTTCCACCACGCGGTGGAACCGCGCTTGACGCTGACTGCATGTTGGCATGGCAGGGGCGAAGATTTGGACGCTGTCGGCGAATTTGACGTTGTTCTTGGGGCTGATATCATTGCGTGCCCGTATGAATCGGCGTATGAGGCGCTGGTCGTGTCTCTGCAGCGGTTTCTGGCGTCGACGTCCACGGTGGCCTTGATCGCGTACAAGCAGCGCCATGGGTCGGAGGCCAAGTTCTTCTTCCGGCTTAAGCGCGAGTTCACCGTCGAGATCGTGCCCAAGGACGACTACCACCCCGACTTTCGCCACGAGGGCATAGACATTCTCCACCTCGCGAAACGAGTGTAGTTGCATGGATCTTTCACCGATGGTAGTCGAAACGATTGTTGCGCCGATCATAGAATCCTGCCACAAGTCCACCTGGAGACGATTGCGATTGCCCCCCACACGAGCCGATCGTCATTTCACTTCGCCACGTCCACTCACGAAGCTGCATGCTTTTCAGGCCACAAAGCCTCCATGTGTTCAAATGACGCCATCGTTGAATGTCGTCGTGTTGGCATGAATGCAAATTAACAAAGCGGCTACATCCGCATGACGACCATCCTTGGGATGCTAGCAGCGCGCGCCATTGTCGCCAACACAACGCCTTCCATGCCTTCGTTGCTTGGCTGTCTTGCGCCCGAAGTGATGCTCATGAAACTATTCAACACTCAGACACGAGCGCCACGTGTGTGGATTTCGGCACTCCATCCTCGCCACTGGATTCGTCACGTGGAGAAAACGGTGCGGCTACTTGGTATCCCGTCATGCAGCAACGTACGGGCTCCGACCGTCGTCTTGCGCTGCTACTGTCGGAGATGGGAGCAGGGAAGGGCGTTGGCACCGCCATTGGTGCATGGCAACCGCGAGAAGCATGCAGCACGTCACGACTACACCGATTGTGGCGCCAAGTTCAAACGGCGACATCTCGACCGAGCCCATCGGGGAACTCGCGGCGGCAGCGCGGCAATCGCAGCTGACCAGCACACCTGCGTGTTGGCGGAAAGATGTTGTCCACTTCTCTGCAGATCGCAACGCGGTGTGGCGAAACGGACGGCGAATTCACCCACCAAACCCGTGGATCCCACGCGAGCCAATCACGTGACTCGATTTCCGAACGGTCACGCGACCCTTGAGCGGAAGAGATCTTGCGGGGGCCGTTTGCTCGTCGGGCAGGTCGTCGGCTGCAGTGGCGAGTTTGGATTGCCCAGCTGACGTGAAACCTTCCAAGTGTTCCCGGTGCAGCATTGGTACGCCAACCCACCTCCCTCACGACGGCCAGGAGGGTCCACGACGTGAAAATAGAGGATATATTGTCCGCTGCGTGGTAGCATGCACTTCTCACCCTCCGTCAAGAACACGAAGCGCGCCTTTCGACTTGCAGCCAGAGCAATGTTTGTGAAATTGCTTAGCTGGTTGGACTCTACATGTACCTGAGACCACCTCAACCATCCTTGCGATATCGTGTCTGCGAATGCGTGATGGAATGTGCAAGGCACGTTCGAACTTCTACGATTGCGATGACGATTCATTTGATCGCGGTGGGACGTCGGTGGGATGCTCAAGGGGCCAACAACGAGCGCAGGATCGCATTGACTTTTTCCGGGTGGGCCCGACCTTCCGTCTCCTTCATCACTTGGCCGACGAAAAATCCAAACAGCTGCGACTTGCCTTTCTGAAATGCAGCCACGTTCTTGGCGTGTTTCTAAAAGCTTGCCATGAGAGATTCCGCAGACGTTTTTCGATGGCGCGCCACGTACGGGGTTGGATACGATCGCTTGACAGTACTGTCGAAGGGCGTCGTCGTCCGTGATGAGCTTCCAGCCGTGGCGCTCGACAATGTCGAGTGGTCGCGCTGTTGTGTCTTCGTAGTACATGTGCTGGATCAAGTCCTACGCATGCCCACCACACGATGACATCCACATGCGTGGCGATTCTGTGCACCTTGGCGATTTTGCCCGAAATCGTCTCGTTCACAATCAAGTCGAGCATGTCACCGAGGCGGGACGGCGTGACGGGGCTCTCATGGATGTTTGTGTTGGTAGCTACAATCCGAGCGGGATACGCATCGTACGACTTCCTCAATGGTCGCACCTTTGAGCAGCGAGAAGAGTTCGTTCAGGACCCAGTTGGCCGCGAGTTTGTGCGGACGGCCCTGCGCCACTTGCTCAAAGAATTCGACAGCATGCGGCGTCAGCACCTGCCATGCCACACACACACACATCCATGATGAGAGTTTTTCATCAATAAGATGGCATCGGCATACCAAGACAGAGCTCTCGTACGCCGTGAGACCGTATTGTTGGACGAGACGGGCCTTCATTTGGTCTGGCAACTCGGGGAGACTCGCTTTGGCGTCGGCGACAAAGGCGGGAGAGATCACAAGGGGCGGCAAGTCGGGTTCGGGAAAGAACCGGTAGTCCTTTGCCCCTTCCTTGGACCGCATGCGTTTCTGCAACAACAACCTGTTTCAGAGACCTATCGTCATGGAATCGGTGGCACCGTCATGCCCGTGGCAGCATCAAACGTTCTCGTCTCCTTTTCAATGGGTCGCCCCGTTGTTTCGATGTGTTGCACCTGTGCGTGCCAAAAAACATCAGAGATCCATCACTTGACCAAGGGAGTCCTACCTGCCGCTCCATTTCGTACTCGACCGCACGCATGAGGTGCCGGATACTATTCATGTTCTTGACTTCGACGCGCTCACCAAACGGTGCCTCGACGTCCGACTTGGGCCGCACGCTCACGTTCAAGTCGCACCGCATCGATCCGTCCTCCATGTTGCCGTCGCATGTTCCGATGTGGCGCAGCAAGTGCTGCACTTCGCGGAGGACTTGGCCCGCTTCCGCCGCGCTGCGAAGATCCGGCTCGAACACGATCTCCATTAGACCGGTTCCCGCGCGGTTCAAGTCCACATGCGTTGCGTCGAGCGTGTGCAAACTCTTGCCAGAGTCTTGCTCGATTTGGATGCGGTTGATGCGCACTTGCCTTTCGATCCCCTCCTCCACCTCTGTCGCAGCTGTGACGAAGAAATATGAGCTGACGAACGAGCCACGATTGCATACCTGCGAGTTGTTTCTGGGCAGCGTTCTTTTCCTTTCGGCTAGAAAAGTTGGTGTTGCGCGCGGCCACATCGTTCGACGAATGCTTGACATGGAACTTGAGAACGCCATTGGAAGCGATCGGAGCTCGTTGCTGCGTGATTTGATACCCCAGCGGCAAATCACAGTAGAAGTAGTGCTTTCGCTCAAACACGCTTTGCAGGTTCACGTCGCTCTGCAACGCATGGGCCGTCCGTACGGCTTGAGCTACACACGCCTTGTTCACAGAAGGCAGCGTTCCCGGCATGGCTGCGTCGAAGAATGACACGCGGCTGTTCGGCAAGAAGGAAGCAGCCTTGGATGCAGCACTGGATCCAGAGAACAGCTTCGACAGCGACTGGATCTGCGCATGAATCTCAAGGCCGACGCAAACCTCCCATTTCGCCGCCGACATGATGGCCACGACCAAGCTAGCTGAGCACCAATCCACGCAACATTGTCAACAGAAATTATCCGTATCCGGTTAAAACAGATAATGCGGACAACAATATCCGGATGCCGGCAGAAGTGTGTTGATGCAGAAGTTTGGATGACGCTGCGTGACCAAGTCTGATGCCTCGGCCATTTCCGGAGCGACTGGGTCCCGCACAGCCATGTCCACTCCTTCCACCATGCAAGCGATCGACATTACCACACCTGGCGAGGCGAGCGTGCTCCAGATTGCCACATGCGACACGCCGGTGCCGCGTGAAGGTGAAGTGCTCATCAAGGTGTACGCGGCTGGCCTGAATCGCCTTGACATTTTGCAGCGAAAGGGTATTTACCCTCCTCCACCTGGCGCGTCTTCTATTCTTGGCCTGGACGTGGCCGGTGAAATCGTGGCATTTGGACCTAGCACCGAGGAATCATCGGGGTGGAAGCTCGGGGAAAACGTGTGCGCGCTCCTGTCCGGTGGTGGGTATGCCCAATATGCCATCGCGGTGGCGTCGCATTGCCTTCCCGTGCCCAATGGATGGAGCTACGTTGAAGCTGCGTCTTTGCCGGAAGCGTTCTTCACCGTCTGGAGCAACGTGTTTCAACGGGCAAAACTGAGCGGCAACGACACATTCCTCGTCCAAGGCGGCAGCTCCGGGATTGGTATCACGGCGATTCAGTTGGCGAAAGCGTTCGGCCATCGTGTATTTGCCACGGCGGGGTCGGCCAAGAAGTGCCGCGAATGCGAGGCGTTCGGCGCGGACGCGGCCATGAACTACCGGGAGGAAGACTTTGTCGCGGTTGTCAAGGCCGCAACGAATGACCGTGGAGTCGACGTGATCTTGGACATGGTCGGGGGCGATTACATTCCACGTGAGATTGAAGCGTTGGCTAACGACGGCCGCATCGTGATGATTGCGCTCCAGCGCGGTGCCGCGGCCCAAGTGGACCTTGCACAAATCCTCCGCCGGCGACTCACTCTGACAGGGTCCACCCTTCGAACGCGTGAAGTGCCGTTCAAAGCAGCCATTGCGGCGGACTTAAAGACCCGAGTGTGGCCGTTGCTAGAAGCCAAGACCGCCATCAAGCCAGCGGTGTACAAGGTCTTTCCTCTCAAGGATGCTGCTGCTGCTCACGAACTGATGGAGACCAGCGCCCACGTCGGCAAAATTGTGTTGCAAGTTATTCATTAAGGCGGCATCGAAACAATCTGCATTCCGCTGTGCACCGGGATGCCGCGGGCGTCACTAGTTGAATGCTGTCGTCCTGGAACGATAACGCTAGTGATTGTTTGGCGCAGCTGTGTGCGACGGCATCGCCTCCAGCTTTGCGTACAGTTGATACATGATAGTCCAATTCGTCTTTATGACGTGCTTGCAAGGTCGGCGGCGTGCGACCGGTGGGCATTGATGCGCTTTTGCCGCCGAGCCTGTCGTTTCGCTTCGAGTTCATCGAGGGTGGCAAGGCGGGACTTTCGTATGTCGATGGCGTCAAAGCAAAACCGAGCGATTTCTTTTCTCGAGTAGCTGGCCGCCTGGAGCAAGTTCATGCGTTCGTTGTGGTCGAACTTCCGCACCCGACTGCGCTTGGACGCCCACGAGACTGGTGACGTCAAGTCGATGTGTTCTTTGCGCGAATGGCGGCGCGCGAGACCGATCGGCGGTCCCGTGTCGGCAGGCACTGCGCTGCCACCGTGGTCCAAGTCAAACACGTATATGGTGGCGGTCGTGAACTCCAATCGCTTCATGGACGGCGCGGGAGCTGGCTCGGCGACACCGGCGCCGACCGTCGTCGTGGTAGGAAGCGGCGATGGCGGCATGGAGGGCCACCGGCGTTGGGCGTTTTATTTGTTTTCGCAAGTGCGCCATCCATCTGTGCTGGTGACGACGTTACAGCTCGCCAGATACAGAATCGCCCCATGCATGGGCATGGGACAAGAGGGAAACGACTCGCGGTTTGTATGCGACGGGTGCTGCGTGCACGATTTTTGTTGGCTGGCAGTATCAAGGTCGAGAGGTTCATCGGGTGGAGGTTCTGCGCCGCCTTCGTGAGCCATGGCGCGTGGTGCTTTCGGTCGACTCGCGTCCGGGTGCATCTCGTTACCCTCACCGAGGCGGCCGGCGGCGCATCGTGCGACCTGTTGGCGTGGAGATGGGCTCTAGGTGGGGCCAGACCATCACTGCTGGTGCGACCCCAGTGTTCCTACGCGAGTTCAATTCCATGACGACGCAAGAGGGGTTTCGTTGGGGATGCACGGAGGTGTGGCTGTCAGAGCGTCCGGCGCTGAAGCCGGTCGTGGCTCCCATGGCGAGCGCAATCGGTGTGTGTGTTGCCTACGATGTTGATGGCAAGCTCCCCGCACCTTGCAATTCTACATACCCTTCGCTCCTCCATCGAGCTAGACAACCCACCCATGCCATGCTAACACGGGAGTGCGCTAGCCGATGGCGCCTACCCCTGGAAGAGACGAGAATTCGACCCTTGTGCATTCGACGACGGTCAGCTCTAGAGACCGACCTTGAGCGTCCATAGTGGCTAATTCGCGCCGTCACCCAATCCAGGCACCACCAGTGCGCCAGTGTGTGGAGAAGCCTAGCTTTTCCTGTCTGGGTGCGATATCAAGGCAGCTCCCTTCCTTCGAAGGCATAGACGCAGCGCAATTCGAACAAGGTTTAGTGGAGCGCGATTTGCGAACTGTCCCATACATCGACACGCGGCCGTTAGATGACGCCTGGAATGAAGACGGCCTTGACATGCTTCGTGTACGCATTCCAGTCGTCGCCGTACTTTTCCCGACAACTCGCGTCGTCGCGCAGCGCGCGATGTCCCAACAGAATCGCAAAGTAAATCGCGTAGTAGTACGGCATGATGCTGGCCGTCCCCGTGTACGCACACCACGCCTGCCCAGAGGATAAATATGCGATTCAACACACATCGCATCTGTCGTGTGCCTTACCAAGCCCATGAGCCAGTCGCCCGTGTAATTGATCTTCCTGGCCATGCCCCACCACCCCGAAATGAGGAGCTTCGTCCCGCGTTTGGTCGGCATCCACTTGAGGTGCTGCACGCTGTCTCCATTCGGATCTGTGCGGAACGCGTCCTTCTGCGCGTTCGCGCCGCGAAAGATGACGTACCCCAACACGTTGACCACCACGATCGCGACCACAACAGGCATGCTCAGGTTCGGGTCTCGATCGACAAGGTAACGCGCTTGCAACGAGTACGTGAACGGCACCCACGTGAGATCGCCAAACGCGAGCATGTACCCGAACCCGTCGGTCGTGATGTCCATCGTGGTCAGGACGCACTAGGCAGCACGTTTGAAGTGAGGAGTTGATGGAGAGGGAGGCAATCATCATGGTGGAGGACCTTTTCATGCCACAGCGCATCCCACACGTAGAGGATCTGGAAGAAGACGACGCACGCCATCGAGAGCGAGACTGATCCATGGAGATCATACTGCTTGACCAACATGCCCAAGTTGAGGACGGCCCACCCGATGAGGCCCGGGCGGAGTTCGCAAAAGTACTTGAGATCGAACGTCCCAGTGTACCGCGTGCGAAAGTTGAGTTCGCGCCCGATGAAGAAGTTAAATACGGGGGACGGTGACATGCCTTGCTCAGCGCATAGCACGTCCGGGCGCCGAAACGACACGACGTAGACGAAGACACTGATCAAGAGAGACAGGAGGATGGCCCCAACGGCCAACTGAAGGTAGTGGTCGTACGCGAACGTCAACAGCGCCACGCGCTGGTAGTGGCCTCCCGCGACGATCGCCAACGAGAGCCAAAAGCACCTGTGGCCGTTCACTTTGTACACCAGTCGGTTCTTGGTTGGAAGCACGACGCCGTGGTGGAACTCGCCCGGCACAACGCGTTCCAACATGACTTGAAACACAAACCATCCAAACACGACCGCAATCGCGTTCGTGTCGACCAGGTCGTCCCACGACAAAGTCGTTGAGAGTTGCGTCCAGAGCTCGCCAACGTCGTACCGGTTGTCGAGGCAGTACGTCGCATTGCAGCCCGCAAACAGGAAGACCACCACGACGGGCAAAATACACATGATGAAGAATGACCCGACAGGGCCACCAAAGTCGTACGGAAATGGCTTGTCAGTAGGTGCTTTCGAGTGGCTGTGGGGCGCCGAATTCCCGGCGGCGGCGGCAGGTGGAGTGTTCGACTTGGCCTTGGTCCGCTGCATGGTTGCTTTCCAAACTGTGTCTGTCCCCGTTGCGCGTCATTCGAGTGATTACCGCGATTTCGTTATCCGGAGGCCCAACTTGATCATATTAGACGTTGCTTGCTACTTCGATATCGCTCATAAAAAGGTTAGATTTTTCCAATATTGCGCGTATATTCAAAATTATTTGTTCAACAATATGTACCTTGGTCCATCCCCAACTCGACAAGAATGCCGCGATGGCCGTTCTCTCGACGCCTGAATGAATCCCATGAGCCCTCATCGGCGCCTCGGCATGCCATTGCGATGACGAGTGTAGCTACAAGTCCGCCCTGGCGCGGTGTCGCTTGGAATACCATCAAAACTTTGTGGTGGAGGATTCAGTTTATGCAGTGCCATCGCCTTCATAGCGAAGGTAGAGCTCTTTCCCCACAAGAAAGCCGACAATCTCGGCCATGTCGTCGTCACTGAGATACGGGCGTAGCACGCGCACGCTGTCGAGGTACAACTCTTTGCTCCATGGACACGTGTGAATGCCACGGTAGAACACCTTGATAGCTCCTTGGACTTGACCCGCTTGGACTTCAAAGCGCAAGTATAGCCGCCACAGGAGTGCCGACCTGAAGGAGGTAAGCCCGCTGAGGTGGAGCTGCGAGAATGGTACCCGTGGGAGCGCCAACTGACTGAATCCAACGCATCTTCGAACACACGACGAATGCGAGAGATGGCAACGGGACCCCACTGATGCAGGGCACAGCACGTGTCTGCCACGTCCAATTCGTTGAATCTCTTCAACCGGTAGACTTCGCCGAGGAGTCCCATCACATGCGCCTACATCCCAGTCTTGCATGTCGTCCCAATGCCTTGGCAACTTACCATGGGGGATGCTGCGTCGAAACGCAGGCGGCTTGCGGTCACGGCGTCCTGCACAGCGCGACGAACTTGCTGGCTCATGGAATTCTTTTGCTCGGCGTCGACAAAGAGGTGCGCAAAAACGGGGTGCTCCGGGACCTGCAACATGCATGCACCCTTCGAAACCATGTCCATGAATCGGGATGGCGTACCAGTTGCATGGCGAGCTGCGTCACATGGCGCCACTGCCTTGGCGAACAGGTACCAGCAAGTTGGAGGAACTCCAGGTACGCAGCTAAGAGCCATTCCAGGGTTGCTCGCCATGCATTTGGCTCCAGCATTCGCGGTTGGTCGCGGCAATTAGATCGCGCAACGTCGATGGCTTTTCGAAAGTGCTTTGACGCCACCGCAAAGCCTTCCATGGCGTGCACGACCATGGCGTGGGTGTACACGACGTACTGCAGCACGGGGCGAGTTGTGGTTGTGTGAGTTGCCATGGCATGGTCCATTTGCTGCTGCAAGCGGAGTCGCACTTGTCGCTGGAGGGACGGCGACACGATAGAGGCAAAATCCGAGTCGCCATTTTTGTCGCGTTTCTTGCAAACTTTGGCGAGTGATTCATTCGCATTCCTGCGACAACATCGCGTGAGCTGTCGCCTCCAAGCGCTTCCATGGAACGTACTCGGGGTAAAATGCTTTGGCCACGAGATACACACACCTCCACACGGCGCGACTTGTCCACAGCACAGTCGCGTCCATCAACTCGGCGCGGAAGCGCAGGAAGAGAAATCGGTGCTGTTCCAACGACGTCGACGGCAACGACTCGATCGTTTTGTCGCATATGCGAACGACCTGCTTGACGTTTTGCAGTCGCCATTCCATGGCAGCGTACTGTTCCCACAGCGCCATGTCGGTCGGTGCCGTCGCGAGCAGCGATTTGGCCAATGCCCGGGGCGCGTCCGGGCTGTTCAGGTGCAAGGCGAGGTGCGTTTCGAATTCCATGAGCAGCGCATGCTCCCGCATTTGCCACAGGAGATGCCGAACATGCATCACCTTGGATGGGTCATGTAGGGTATCGCGGGACACAGTCAGCGAATCATGTAGTACTGTGTGCAACAAAGCCAGTCGATCGCACGGCGGCGGGGAATGCCCTTGAAATGTCCGAAAGCACGTGGCGACGATGGAATTCGAAGCCACGTCGTCTTGATAGAGCCATTGCAACGCTTGCAAAGACAGCCGACCACGGACATTCACGCCGACCAGGCCCAAGTGCGACAGCAAGAGCTCTCGGTGCCACACCGCTGGAACGTGGAAGAGAAATGGTTGAATTTCGTCGAACAGCAACACGCGATCTGGCTGGGCCTCGATCCTACAAATGTACAGGTTGACGGTGAGTTTCAATGGAATGTGCCGACGAGGAAATGCCTGGTGATGACTCACAAGGGGGCATGGTCTGGGTTGCGTGGATGGAGCGGGCTCCATTGCGTGGCATGAAGCAGCGACTCCTCTTTGAGCAGTTGAACATGCGGATCGTTGTTTGGAACGACATGAGCTCCCAAACGCTCGTCGTGGTCGGCGATCAAGGCCATCGTGGCATCGTTCTTGGCCTTCTTTTGCACAGGAGCCACCGGTCGATTCGACTTGAGTTCGTGCAAGATGCGTTCGTATTCAGCCGTGTCTTGGGCGTCTTGGATCGGGATGCGATACCCGTGCAAGTTACTCCACACGTACTCATCACCTTCTTCCCGGGTGTCATGGCTTTCGTGGTGGTGGACGCCATGTCCTTGTGGATTCAGCGTATCACTGGCTTTGTCGTCCGGGCCGCGATGGCGAGCGGGGTCAACCTCCTTCAAGTGCAGTGGAGGTTGCATCGCAGCGACTTCGTCCTCCACGTGGGTCTCCAGCATGGTCATGTAAGAGTGCATGGACGGTAGCAATTGGGATGCATACGATGGATCCACAGTCGGCACAGTCGACTTAAGTTCCTACGGCACAAAAGCAATTCCAGTGAGTGAATGGCTCCCACTTGACTTCACTCGCGTTCAAATCCCACGCAAGAGGATAGCAGCACTGGCAGGCAGTGCTCATTCGTACCGACTGGTTTTGCCAAGAGGCCCATGCAACATGGCCGGCTTCACCAAAGCGCGGCAGATCCTGGTCCCAAAACACCTGGAAATCCTTCTTCCTTTGGTCGAATTCCACGTGTGTACTGCATAGCGACGACGGCATGTTGCAGTTGAACTCCATCAGTGCCTGCATGAGTCCAACCGCTCGTTCGGTGTACCCGCTCTTCGCCTCCAGCGTGCAGAGAAGCGTAAAGAAGAGCAAAAGGGTCGCGCTGACGTCGGCGGTCGAAGCTTGCAGCGTTTGAATCACTCGGGCGTACAGGTTGCGCATTTTTGGCAGTGAAAACGCACTAAACTGTTCTTGAGTTTGCTGGATCAAGAGCAGCCAGAGCAGTTCACTGTCCGGTGCGACATGGAGATGCTGCTCCAACTTGTGTGGCAATTCGTCGGGAACAGTCAGCGCCATGAGCCACGTGATCTGCTGTAGTTCGACAGACGTGGGGTTCGCCGCCTTGGCCTTTTCAAGGATGGAATATTGCTTTTCCAGCACCACGGACCGCTGCTTGTGCTTGTTGCGAACGAAAGCGCCTTCTCGCTCCTGGGCTGCCATGTACTTGATCCAGAGAGAGACGTTCTACCAGACAGATAGGTGAACGAGGGGAACCTCTTCTGACAGCGTACTGTCGGTGCCGTCCGAAGGGCTTCATTGAATCGCTTGGTTTCAGTCGTGACGAGAGCTTCCAGTCTCTGGTTGTCGGTCTGAGCCTCGTCATCGTCTGCTTCGTTGTCAAGATACGGCTCAACAGGAATGAATGGCGCCGACATGTCAAGTGGCTGTGCGGTCTTGTCAGTGAAGTTGACCCGACGATGGTGGACGTGTTGCTTGAACTCTGGATCAAAGTACCGCACGATCGACGACGCGTCGTCGTTGTCGGTGTGCTTGCGACGTCGCTTTGCAAGGTGGTACCTGCATTTATCCCGAGGTTAGATGAGGTAGCTACGAAATCTAAGGATTGGAGGGACCTTGGGATGTCCTTTGCTGCGAGGGTTCTGTAGAACAGGTTGTCCTTGTCTCCGCCATGATCGATTTCAAAGACAGCGCTTTCCTTTCGAGGGGGCAGTGGTGTTCTCCGAGATTCGGTGGGCCGTGGTATTTCTGGCCGAGCTGTCACGACCTCTTTGGACTCGGCCGACGTTTCGAATGCCTCCTCATCGTTGCTATCGTCGTCGTCACTGATGTAGGTATCTGCATAGGTCTGTCCGACATTAAGCCAATCTACGCAACACATGAGCTGCTTGGTATGATATTCAGCGTGCTTACCGCGCTTCTTCGCCTTTGACTCGACCTGCGGCCCCGCCGCGCGAGCAACACCCGACGAAAACATGGTGAACTCCTTCAGCTTTACGGATAACGACTTTGAACTTTTTTTGCGAAATCGGCGCAATATTTTGGATAACTTCTGAAGAATTTGAAAATTTCCTTCAATTGGTTCAGCGGCAAGTCGACTGCTTAAACTCCAAGCCCACTCACGTTGACGCTCGTCACTGCGACGTCAGCGCGATGGCGACGTCGATGGCACGCCAGTACAACAAAAAACGTACAGGGCAGCCGGTGGCCATGTCGACGATGGTTGGCGCGGCACAATAGTGCAATGGTCCAGAGCACCTTGTAGCTCACGTCGTAATTGTTACAGGATATCTGACTGCACCGTGAGCTGTGCACTGACTGCAGGCTGAGGAAGGGTAGCTAGCGGAGTGTTTGGGGCAGCCTGTGCACTGAAAACAGGCAGAGGAAGGGCTGTTGATGGAGTGCTAGGGATGAGTTGTGTCGTTGGAGCAGGCTGTGACGTGGAGGTCGATGGTGGAGAGTTTGGGGTGGCCTGTGAGCTGGCAACGGGTCGTGGAGGAGTAGCTGGTGGGGTGTTTGCCCTCCGCACGGACTTCTCATATAGCTTTTGACGGAGGCACTCCTTTTGGTATCGTTCGAGATCCTGCGCTGCCAAGATGAGACATCTTGTGCGAACTTCCATCGGCGACTGCTCGTAGATCGCGCGAAGTCGGAGGTCGTCGAGGCCCGATCTGTCGGAATACATTCGCTTAAAAATGTCGAAGTCAGTCAGGGATGGCGTTGGCTGTGGCGGCGGTTGGCGAGGCATGTAGACGCTGGAGTGCCCTATTGGCGGCCGTGGTGGCGGTGATGAGTTTGGTTTCGAAGGAGGTGTTGCGAGTGACGACGCGAGCTGCGCACGGACGGAAGCCTGATTTGGCAACGGAGATGGCATGCCAGTGTCAACTCTTCGGCGCTTCAAGAAATGCTCCGCGACAGTGTGCAGCGGAGCGTAGTTGGATAAGTCACTAGCTGCGTCGGACTTGAGAAAGCCTGGCGGGTCAAAGGACGGAAACAAGCTTGGAGCTGTGGAAGACAACCCAGATGAGGTAGCCCGAGCGGATGCACTTGATTCTGAGAGTGCGTTGTTGGTTGTAACAACTGACGAGGGTGGCTCTGCCTTTTGTGCTGCGACGATGCACCGAAATGGGAATTGGTGCGGGCAATATCAAGACATATCGTACCTTTCGCACGTTTGTTTGCAAGGAATTCGGCCGTGGCGTTGAAATCTTCGACGTCCGAGTCAGAAGCGAACTCGTCCTGCCCAGAGGGTGCGGTCGACGCCGATGTATCCATTCCCGTGCTAGGAGCTTGATCATACGCTAAATACTTCCACAAGTCTTGACACTCCCTAAGCATGTTGGAGTTGACGCGGGGTTCGTTCAAGTCGAGACCGACCTCGGCTTTAGGTGGAGCTGATGTTTGTTTAGCAAGCTGGCGGATATTTCGATCCAGTTGATCGCCACTGTCAAAGCAGGGCACGTGAGGTCGTCCTGAAAAGAAAATTCGAGAGTCCTTACCCGGTGGCGTATCCCCCGACATCGCAGTCGAGGACTCGGCATTGTTGCTCATTTGCTGAGCGATCTCCATGCACATGAGGTTGGCGTCACCGACCAAGTATTTTCCCAAGATACGATCGAATCGTGTGGTGTTCATGGAGGCTTTTCGAATTGGAAGGCATTTCCCTTCGTTTTCGCCATCTCCACGCGCGGACAGCTTCGGTGAGCTGTCATCGCTTACGTTCTCGGCAGCGTGTTCGTCTGAAGCACATTCGGCCGTTGTTTGATTCGAGGGAGAGGCAAGGGCTTCTGTGTTTTGTTTCTGCGCTTCCTTTTCAGCAGTCTGTCGTCTTGCGCTGTGACGTGTGTTGACATGAAATACGGGCGGCGGTGCCATCGGCGGCGGCGCTTATCCGCAACGTTCCTTACACACTGCTTCTTTTTGACCAATCGCAAGATTCCATTTTCAGCGAATCAAATCAATTGAACCCACTTGGATATAACGTACTTCTCGACCAATTGACGACTCCAACGCGGCAACTCAACCAACGTGGCAGCACGCTCGCAGTCGGCCGTCGCGCAGACCCACGTCATGTGCACGCAATCTGTTGGCATCAAACCTGACGCTGTAGTTTTTGATCCCTGTCGCTGGTGCACAAAGATGATGTGAGCATTCCATCACGGCGGCAATCTTTTCCCAGGATTCATGGTAGGTAACCTCTGGTATATGCATGCCTGGAGGGGGGGGTACATTACTTGGTATAGACAACAAAACTGAAGATGCACTCGCATTGTCGGTTTTGTGTATTGATCTCGTTGAGATGAATACACAAAAATTGCCAAGTGTGGATGGGGAATGCCTCGGGAATATTTTGCCTTGACTGGTTGAATGCTGTAGGAACCGCGTGCTCGACACGTGCGATCGTGTACGAATGAGTACGTCGTGCATGGCATGAATGGTTTGTGTGCCCTGCGAAGCCAGGGGGGTCGAGTATTTGTGCAAGGACCGACGACGCGCCCTCAATGGCCTTTGCAACACCCCGCGGTGATGCGAAGGTGCCCATCATAGAGGGGAACGACGAGCGTGTAGTCCATTTAAATTATTGTGTGTGGGCAACAACGCTAAGGCGAATTCAATTAGTCGAGTCGGGACCAAGAGAAGCCGCGGCTAAAGGACGTGGAACGATGTCGAGGTCGATGGGACGTCGTCCGTCACGTCCGTATAGCTATCCAGGAGGAACGGGATCATCACGTCTGGCAGGATGTCTTCAAACGGATGAAGCAACTGCGGCGGGGCCGTCCCGAATGCGTTGCTGTGGGCACGCATGACCATGGACGCCTTGGGCTGGAGGACGCCTTTCACTTTGAACGCAGAGATGCGCTCCCGTCGATGAAACCCTGCATCTTTCTTCTTCCGATCCAAGCGCCGCTGGTTCTCGTTCGCCTTGGATCGATGGAACGTACACAATTTGTGAAGCAACCCGTTCGCCTTGACGTGCCTCTGGTTGTTGCATTTCCCAGTTCTGTACAAGCACGTTTTGTGCTGCTTGGACGATGATGGGCGTGCTTTGGACCTGCCCTTTGTGGGTTCGCGTGGGGCTGGCTCGCTCTTTGTACGGGGGGACATGAATGAAAAGATGGTCTCTGCCCTCGGAAGCGTGCGCGGCGTCGTGAAGGTGACATCGCCGCTCTCCATGGACGTAGTTGTCGGAAAAAGCAAAAACGATCAATGACGGGTTGGTCGTGGCGAGAGAGGTGGTCCATGCCTCCGCACCCGTCATCTCTGCACGGACAAATCCATCGTTCTTCGTATGTCGTGTCCAACATATACCATCCATTCCGACATCCACATGACGGCACGTATTGTTGGCGGAGATCTTGATGGGCAAGATCGGCACATTTTCGAACGACGGCACTTTGTGCTTCTCCGTTTTCTCCGAGTAGCCTCGTAGCGAAACCAGGACGGGGGATGCCTATGTAGCCACCAAACCGCGTGAGGTATGAACGTCAAACGCCAGCCAGCCACACGGACGTCTAACGTGGCGATACCTCGACTATCACCCGACGCCCATTCAACTTGCGTCCGACACTAGCCCCCCCCCTTCCGCCCCCTCACGACGCGGCCAGCACGGCACCTTTCCAGGGCTACTCATATCGCACACGCTGGAAGCCAGCGACCCGGCGTGGAACTCGTTGGCAGCAGAATAGTGCTGTTCCGTTCTGGCTTAGACCTGTGAATATCGTCGTCGACTCGAGCTTCACGACGACCAAGAAGGCATGAACGCGATCCTATGCACCTTCAAGTACTTTGAGCACGTTGGGGAGACACCCCACTTCGCCCCGGCGTCTCTGCATTCGCCCAGTAGGCGTAGACGGATGGATCCCCCAGTACGACATTTGGAGAGTGGGAGGGGGCGATCGTGGAATCATGGGCAAGGGGGTAGTGGGGGTTGAAGAGGATCAAGCGAGCTCTTCTTGCACGACGGGAGGAAAGCAACTCTTACACAGAGGCGAGCCGCACAGGAATCTGTCGATGTGCCCGCACGAACAATTGGCACGTGACCACGCCACGGGCGCTACTCCCGGGTAAATGCACGAAAGGTCACGTTTGTTGAAGTTCAGGATTGGACTGGTTGGAGGGGACGTCCCGACCTCAATATGTGACATGGAGATCACGTCGCTGTGGGGGGACAGTCGCCAAGTGCAGTCTCGTTGCTCGAGCCTCCGTCGCCCCCAAGGGACTGGCAGGGAGGGGGGGTTACTTGAGGAACACGAGGTACGTTCATGCATATCCTGTCATAGAGATTCACGTAACGTGGTGCATTGCCCTGCCACAGCGAATTGTTCTTTTATGCAGTTCGGGCCGCCGGAGAAAAGACGCGTCTTGTGCGGGCCATGCGACAATTCCACGAGCGAGATGCAAACGAGGGGATGCTTGTCATTCTCTCGTCCACGTTTGTGTCCAGCGCGATGGCGCCCCTTCCGATCCGAGTTTCTTCGCGGTGTGTCCAGAAGTAGTCTCATGGGAACTGGACGCCGTTCAAAAGGAACCAGCCAAAGCCCTCCTCGCGTCTGCTCCACAGATGTGGAATTCATCATGCGTTGACACGTGATCGTGATCTCCGACCATTTGCGACATTGATGTGCGAGGAAGTGGATGAGGGAAGCTCCTGGAAGATGCGCTAGGGTAGCACCGGTGGGCGGGAAGTACTGAAGGAGCTGCATGGCTCACCTGGCATTCCTGTCGTGTGTCGGAGCGATTCAGTGATGTCTGTCATGGCTTCGCCTGCTTGTGACGAAGACGAGTCCGTGTTCGTTCGCTGCCCTTGACAGTCCCCGATTCCGCAAGGGGGGTGAAGAGAGTGGGTGCATAATACGGGAGAAGGGGAACGAAACCATGCGAACGTACATGGAAACGACGTTGTCTGAAGGGTTCTTGTGGCCGAACTGAGCTCTTAAGCACGTGCATGACGTCGGGGAGCAAACAATAATCATCTCGAAGTACACGAGTAGCACTTGGTCATTTTCATCTCGCGCAGTGCTCGAACTTATGGATGCCCTATCGGCCTACGCAGTCACGTGTCGCCCGCCACGAACGACATCTCCATTCCACTAAACCTGTGATTTGGATATGCGCCGAGGTCATCGATTGCTTCGACATGCGATGGACCAACTTCCAGGACGAAAGCAAGTTAGGTGCGTACATTTGTCAGGGTTCGACGCACAGCACACGTATTTGGAGATTGCGTCGCTTCCACCGAGTCTGTCGACGGCGGCCATCGGAAGCTTGGTCGTTGGGCGGAGTTTGTCGAGTCCGACCGAGATCACTTCGGATAAATTGCTTTCATTTTTGTAGGAAGTTTTGTGAAATGTCCAGCTCTTGCTGTGAATGAATGTGCTCGTGCTGGTTATCCGGATATGTCCACGAGACATACACCCGCATGCAACTTGCTTTGGTGCCCAAGATGAACAGCGAGCAAGGAATAGTACCTCCTTGTCGTCGCTGCTTTGTAATGCACGCTTCGCGTGTTCCATCCCACAGCACGCATCTTACCCTCTTCAAAGGTTGACCAAGGGATTTTCATGCACTGAGGGCTATTCTTCATGCTAGCAGCCCTTGCCAAGTCATGTCACACCATGCCAGTGGCATGGTGTGACATGATTTTTGTATACTAGTACACAGCTCCTTGTTCGCGATCGTCATGATGGACAATTGGCACAACGACACCCTGCGCAGTGCGGTTTACACCTCGAGAGCAATGTCATTCGTGCTGCTTCTCCTTTCGTCCGTGGTGGTTCTGCTCGTGGACCAATTTGAAGTCCGCGTCATTTTTGCGATCTTGACGTATGCGCCTGAGCGCACTTCACAACCGAAATTTTCATGTGCTTGTAGGTGGTGGTGCAGCCAGCGGTCGTGGCGCCTGATCCAGTCCATACAATTGCCACCTGATCCAGTCCATACAATTGCCATACCCAACTTCCTTGGTGTCCCTTTAAACAAACAATCCATTGGATAGTGCAGCTCGACGTGTGATGCTCCTGTAATATGCCTGCGGAAGTTTAGACTTTGCGACAAAGGCTGCCTTGCTCGTGAGGCAGTTCTTTCACTAGGCCAAGCGACTGGTTCTGCGTGACTGGTCGTCGTTGCCGAAAATTGAAGAAGCAAGACAATCTGTTGACATGGTACGACAATCTGTTCACCGATTCGCTCCCAGCGATAGGTACTTCAAGAGCACAAGCAACGGACGTCGTTGCTGCCGCTTATGAGACGCACCGCGCCCACGCTCCAAAGCGTGCTTTCGACTGCCTGCATCAGTGTCAACCTCGGTGGTGCCGCTACGTGTGCCGGTTTTATACTGTCGTGCCAACAAATTGGTCAAAATAGTTCTACCTCGTTGGATATTTCCAATACCCAAACGTGTGGTTGTGGCGGTGATATTTTTACCTCATTCCGTGTCACAAGGTATACAAAACCTTAGTATAAAAATAGCCCCGAAATCTTTCGAGGTTTCACTTGGAACGAGTATTCGCCGCCGAACGACACCCTACCCCCGGAGGGATTCTTGAGCCAATCAGATCTCGTTAATGATAGATTTGGCCAATCAGCGGGTGAACGGCAACAAAAACGAGGCAGCTGGTACATTCGCTAAAAAGAAACGCAACCAACAAGCCAGTCCGCCGCCGCCCGACGCTGCGTGTCTAGCCCAGGAACATGTGCCGTCCGTTGGAAATCCAAGGAACTCTTGGCGGGACTTTATCGACCCAGCTACCCCCGCAATCCAGTGACTATGCCGCGTCCTCTCTGACGAAGGGAATGATGCCGCCGATGGACATGCAGTCCATCCACCCGATCCCATTTATGAACCCGATGATGATTGCGGCATACCCAAAGCCCACATCGTTCGAAGTCATGATGCAGCAATCCACTCCCTCCTCGATGTACTCGCCGATGATGATGATGAACAACCAATTTCAGTCCGCCACAAACCATTTGGATTCGGACCCGAGCTCCATGCAAGATTTATTGGAATATGCCCTCTTCAATGACGAGTCGAAGGATGGCGATGACTCCGACCTCGAAGTCACGGAAGAATTCGACAACAAGGAAATCGACATTTTGTACACGTTTTTAATGGACCGAAGCGGTCCGTCTGCATACAACTCGACTCCTGTGAAGGCACCCGTTGTGCTTCCGAACACGTCAGCTGTCGACCCAAATAGTGGTGTAATCTCGTTGAACCTTCTCGACGAGTCTCCTTTGGAGGCCTACCTGGATGGAAACGACGAATTTGACGAAGATCTCCTCAACATGCAACTTGTGGCCCCTCCTCAATTTGACACTCAAACCATGATGAAGAGCTGTGATACCGACTCGTGGACCGACGATTCCAGTGAACTCGCAAGCGACAAGAACCGCCGTTTGTGCAAAATGTCGGGCTGCCAGCGACGCTCGCGCTCGCATGGGTTGTGCATCTCCCATGGAGGTGGCCGCCGATGCGCTGTCGAAGGCTGTGGCAAGAGCAGCCAGGGCGGCAACTTGTGCATCAAGCATGGCGGGGGCAAGCGTTGTGAGATGGAAAACTGCAATCGTGCAGCTCAGTCCAACAATCTCTGCAAGGCTCACGGCGGCGGACCCCGCTGCCTCTTCGAGGGATGTGACCGCAGCTCTCAGGGTGGTGGCTACTGCCGTTCCCACGGAGGTGGCAAGCGCTGTCTCTTCGAAGGGTGTGACAAGGGAACCCAGCGAGGTGAATTCTGCGCATTGCACGGCGGATCGCGCCTTTGCGGCGTATCAGGGTGCATGCGCAACGACCGCGGCGGGGGATTTTGTGCGACCCACGGGGGCGGCAAGCGGTGCCGCCAAGAAGGTTGCGACAAACCTTGCCGCCGTCGCGGCATGTGCTCTGCCCACATTCGCCTTCTTGACGAAAAGTAAATCATCATATTTTGGGTGCATCACAGCACCCAGAGGGTATGAAGAAGAAGAAGAGAGTGCACCCGGCTGCCCTCCCGGTGTCTTCGCAGTGTTTGTATATTTTATTCACGTCCACCATTTCAATTCTCGTCGTCCTTTGCGTTGCGCGAGTTGGCTGAGCATCCCATCAGTGAATATTTCGATTATGGGATATTCTCAAATATATCTTATCAAGAACCTCAATTCGTTTCCAAAAGATTGTATCCTTCTTAACTAAATAATCTGTAGAATAGCATTAGATATGAATGCGCAAATGGGGTCAAATCAAATGTTTTTCTTGCCTGTTGACAATATGCTTGCACAGTCTCGATGCCTTCTCCGTGCAACGTCCGCGCTGCGTCCATCGCTCCGCGCGGCTGCCTTTACCACGTACTCTGGAGGGCATGCGTCTGAAGGTCAAGGCGGTTTCTACGGCTCCCTGAAGTCGCGTTCAGAAGGGTCGGCCAAATTTACACCAGGATACCGCGCTGAGGAACGTGACATTCAACAGCTTCACGCACTCATGCAGGCAGCTAACACTCCATCGTTTGCCCAATTGGTAGCGGACGAAAGCACTCAGCAATTGATCGATCGATTGTATTTCAAGGGGTCGCCAGTGTGGGGTCTTTCCCTCAAGGAACGCGAGTTTGTGTCGAGCTTGCGAACGATGCCACGACCTTGACGTTTCAGTGTACCCGACAACTCATGGCGTTTTCACCCCGTTTGTTCATTATCTTTCGTCTACGTTTGCCTGATCAACTGACGCCTCAACACGCGAGGAATGCGGAGGCCCTCCTTGCCGGGTCCACCACCGGCCACCGTCGTCGTCCTCGTCCGTCGCGTCGTCTTGTCCCAGCTCCTCTTCCATGATCGGGTGCTCATCCAGGCTATTTTTCCGCTCCTACGATCGTCACAACCTTGGTTCGATATACATGCAGGACATCCCTACCACAGCAAACGTCTTGGCGACAAACGGATTGCTCGTGCGCTCCTTTTGAAAGTCAAAGGACACGGTCAGGTCGTACACGGCGTTCTCATATGGCTTGGGCGCTGGTCCGTTTCGTTTCTTCGCTGGGAAGGGCAGCGCCATTGGCCGCCACTCCTTCCGTGGCGCCGTCGATGAAAACGATGTCATTTCGCTCAGTTCGTCGCCATATTCACGCTCCAAATGGCAGTAATCGTTCGGGAACGAGTTGCTCTGGGACAAGGACCGACCGCCGCTGCTACCACTGCTGCCGACGCTGTCCCGCGCGGTTGACGCGTCGGGTTTCTTGGGGATTGTCATCGGTTCCGTGCGCGGCTGGACGTGCAACGTCGTGTCCATCGTAACATTGAACGGGTTCAACCGATCGTCGTCGTCTGGAACAGGGCTACAGTCCAAGTCATGACGATCAAAATCGTCCAAGTCGGCGGTTGGGGCAGGATAGAGCGCCATTGGCAGTGGCGCGGGAGGCGAGGGACGCTTGGATGTGTCGATGGGAGATGGAGTGGTTGCGACGTGAGGTGCTTCCTGTGGCGATGTGTGCCTTGACACAGTCTTGGCTTTGAGCGAGTCGTGAAAGAGCGCGTCGTCCTGCAGTGTGATGGTGCTTGTGAAGACGTTGACGTAAGCGCTGAGGTCATTCAGCACGTCGTTCGAAGTGGGCACTCCTGTGATGGCATATTCCGCCAAAAGACTACCAGGTCACCATGAAGGACGCCGTGGAGGAAATTAGCGCGATACCTGTTGGCCAAGATGACAAGTTCCGATATTTGATGCATTCGTTTCTCCATCTTGGTGTTCCAGTCTTCCATGCCGATGATCCATCGCCCGGCATCGGCAACATACGCCACGCTGGACCTGAGTCATGCTTGATCAGCAACCAGAGCAGACCATGAACGTTTTTCTTACTGAAGTTCTTCACGGATTGCTTCGCGGTACTCGTGGCACCGCCGAAGGAGTTTGCGCGCTGCGTAGTTTACATCTACGTACAGCTCGTCAGGAATGCGTCGTCGTGCACCTCGGTCGATCGTCAAAGAACGTACCTTCTGGAAGGTTTCCACTGCGCCGCTGGAAGAATCCTTCGTAGTAGATGACCTACCGACTCGCGAGATGGTAATTTGATGAATCTTGGCTGTCGTTGATATCATCAACGTGCGGTCGTTACCTTCTTCATGAAGTTGCTGAGGTTGGTCTCGAGGCATATGATTCCACCCGCGACAGTCGTGACGGACTTGGAGATGCTTGCGACTGTTTGCGTATGCCCAAACCAACTTGCCATCGTCCCGAGTCGCCCGCCGTCCGATGATTGCCGCTTATTTTTGGCCGAACCTCGTCAGCATAGCCGAACCTTCCTTTCGAACATTAATTCCCCTGCCGCTTCAAAAATATCTAGTAATTTCTATGCTCCCAGGCATATTATTATTCAAATCGTCACAGTAATTATAGCAGCGCAAATCCAATACGCCGGTGCAGCGCGGGGCCAGCCTGAAGCATTCACGCGAATGTTCCATCACCAGGATAGGATGCGAAGGTTCATGGACAATCGCAAGGCACTTGACGCCGTCGCTGTGGCGTGGAGTGCATTCTCTGCTCGTTGAAGTGACGTTCCGTATGGCGTTCTGGTCTGAGCGTCTGGCAAGATAGAGATGCTACAATTTTCTGTGAAAGGATTGCCGAAGTGAACTCGACGAGTCCTTGGTCCCATTCGTCGAAGATGCTCCATATCTGTCAGGCTGCAGAAGCCATATGAGCACCAATTGGCCGCGATGCATGCATGGGAGTGCTACTGGTTGAATTGAGGGTAGCGAAAGACAATCCGTCGTACTCTCGTTGCCTTTTGCGCCGACCTTTACCGATCAGTCCGGGCGACTTTTATGCTTGATCTCCGCTCCAGACGACACCAAGGAGACGTTGGTCAGTCGGTGCATCGCCATGATGGAGCTCATTATTTGCAAGCAATGCGCGGAGATGTCCCATCCGTCAGACCAAAGTCCAGTGTTTAAAGTTGGCAGCATCGCTCCTTATTTGATGGGCCAACAAGGAGAACAACACTGCTCTAGCTTTTGGACACGTGCTAGCGACGGATATCGACCTCGTGGATTTCGACATCAGGACCGAGAGGAGGCAATCCTTCCGCCAGCGGTCGCGCGAATTCCCGGCGGCGCGATCGGGAAGAATTGAAGCCACTTCGCTAACACGTTGCTGCCCTCTCACGACTCCACCTCTCCAGATCCAAGCGTCTTCGGTGGAAAGAAGTGTGCATCGCACAAGGTGTTTCAAATCTCTTGAGGTTGATGCGAAACAAACACCTTACACGAACGTGGAGTGCATGCCGCAGCTGCTACGTGAGGTGTCGACATGGCATCCGACCATGGGGGATATCGAACAGGTCATGGCACGTCACAGTGTGATCATGCCTTTACAGACTTCAGTTTTCGCCCGACTGGCGGCATCACACGTTTCTCGGCACGACATGTGAACCCTGAATGCTCGACACAGAGAGAAATTTAACACGGACGTGGCGCTGGGACTCTGCGCCGAGGAACTCTTGTCACGGCCATGCACAGCACGAATGACGACAAGATGGTGCATGTGGTATTCCGAAGCCACCATATCGTGCGACCTTTCCTGGTCCAGAATACGCTAGCTCAAGGGTGAGCAAGTTTAGGCTCATGGGGTTTCCCTCGTTGACTTTCATGGAGGTATGCGCAGCAGCACTCGGCCATGGGAAAATCACTGACGTCGCCACGATGGAATCGAGAGCCAGATACGACTTGCACATGCATCAATTGCTGACGAAGCTCGCCGATCAGTCCGTGCATGGATGGATTTGTTCACCGACACCCAAGACTTTTCGCGCGTGGACCTGGCGCGGACCTTCCGCATTCTCGAACAAGAGCGCTACTGCGACTGCTGCGTTGTGGCGGGCATTCCAAGCTCGCCAAGAACTCGCAGCGACTCCACCCCGACAATTCGATGCCGACCCAAATGCCACTGGCAAACTACGTCGCCCCGCTCTATCCAGCGTCCGTTCGAACCAGCGAAAAGACTCTGCTTTTTCATTCAGGCACAAATATATTTTTATGAAATATTACGATCGTTTGTTGGAAGACCTTTACCACAATTATGGTCAGGTGATGCTCATAAACATGGTCAACTGGTTGCCGTCCAAGGAGATCGATAGTGTGGCGTACTCGGCCCGCGAAATCCTAGCAGATGCGAGGGATATAGATGCTGCTGAGTATGACCCGAGTACGAGGAAGCGTCTCCACAACCGCCAGCGCCTGCGGGACGCAAGGCGGAGAGAGAAAGACGAAATGCGAACCCTGCAACATCAAGTACACCAGTTGGCGCAGCACCTCCTTGGCCAGTCGAAGCCACTTCCGTGGCACGAAGTTGCTCGTGCTCTGGAAATTGATGCGGTTGCGTCGCAAGAGCAGAACCGGACTTTGAAACAACAGCTCTGCCGTGTGCAGAACGTCGTGGCGATGTTGCTGAGCTGGGGCTCGATTGAAGTCGGATTTCCTTCGTCGGTACGAATCGACATCGCTGTACAATGCTCACTCACAGTAAACTAGATTGCGTTGCTGCCGAGTGGTGGCTGGAAAGAGAGTGCTCTGCTTGGTTTCGACGGTGATGCGAGGATAACAAGTATCAAGTGGCTCACGGAGCGAATGTACCACAACATTGAGGCGGCCCTGACGCAATGCAGCAACGTCGTCGGCTCCACTTCATCATTGATTGAATGTACCGACTCCATGGTGTACATGGCTGCGAGAATCCATCGAGTGGTCCCGGCCCCGTTGGCCACCGTGCCGGCTACGTTTTGCCGCATCTACATGGCGCTGCAGCGCAAAGAGCCTTTGGATGCGTCGGTTTGTTTTCCCAACGTGGAACGTATGGAATGTCGTGATGTGCACCATGTTGTAGCTATTGCACGAATCGTTTGGAACGAGCATCGCGCTCTTGGACGCCGGGAATGGCGACCCGATGGAGTTGTGCCGCGTGTTTTCCGAAACGGACCGGTCGATTCTCGTGTCCACGTACGTCGCCCACGACGACATGCGACCGCAATTTGAAACGAACGGCAGCACCATGCACGGCTGGTACGCTCCTCACGTCCACGATCAATGCGACTGACACTGCGCTGGCAGGATTGTCAACCAACAGCTGAACGATACCTTCACCCGTGTGCGCGAGTTCTGGCTGATCGGGTACCCCCTGCCGACGTCGCACGAAGAGTATGCCAGGGAGCTGGGCGTCGACGTCGGCACAGTAGCAATCATGACGGACAGTGCCCGCCTCGACGCGTTTGTCGCCGGCCTTCACAGGTCGTTCGATGCGATGATGGTGGGATGTGACGACAATTTTCGGCGTCGGTTGGCGCATGCAATGACTTAATCACGACGCCATCTCGATCGGCGTGTTTCCTCGACGACTCGCGCGTCTAGGTCGTGTGCAATTGCTCGAATCTGCCTTTCGCCGACCACCATGGCTTTCACGGAGTGGACCGTACAATCATGCGGCGCCTCGCCATCGTGCAAGTACTTGGCATGGCTCGATCGAGTATTGGCTAACGTAATGCATACCTCAAGCACCCTCATCGTGGCTTCATGGTGCTAGGCACAAGGATGGCACACCGCCTAGGTCGAGAAGTGAGTGAATGCCAACCTTCATCATGCACGAAAAATATATCTCGAAATTGAAGAAAATTGCAGATATTATGCTAATAAATGTATTTGCGTGCACGGCCTGCACGACGACAACTTCGAGTTACGCGGGGTGTTGCCGAGATAACGCATCCGTTTGTCGTACCGGGAAGCGATTCCACGTCGGGCGAAGCGTTCGTGCGCTACCGCAACCATCATAGCACTCCATCAAGCGCGGGAACGTTTGGCGCGGGTGTAGCTGAAACCCGCGCTGCGAGTGACGCATCGGATGAAGTATGGGCATGGGCAAATCGGTGCACAAGCGGAATGCATCCACAAACAATGCCGTTGCATGGGAATATGCGCGAGACTTGACCACGTTTCCACCCGACGCGAAGCAGTTCTACTTGGACTGTGCCATCCTGAATCCGCCAGAAGCACTGCCGAAACAAGTGTCGCATTAGAATTCCGGGGACGCATGAAGGACATCCGCGGCAATACCATTCAAACTGAACATGCCATCGTGAACCTACCCTATGTGTGTCGGAGCGAGTGGCAGCACGGCGGGTCTGCAAACGACGGAGGACACGTGCCTCGATGGAATCAATCGAGGTGCGATGCACTCGACACAAGGATCCCAACGGATGCCACTCTACGTCACACACGGTAGTCGTATCCAACAAGGCATGGAGGATTCTGCCGCCGTGCGTTTGTTTGAAAATTTCTAGCTTTGCCCTTGCCGTCGTCATGCGCCACCGGCGATGGAACAGGGACTCTTTGAGTTGGTTTCGTGTGGTCAACGAAGGCAGATTTGCGAGATCACCAACCATGCATCGACTTCCAACGTGCAGCGTCTGGAATCGATGGTGTTTGTGACCAAGGCCATCCACAGGGTCGTCCCAGCCTCGTTGTAGGACGTGACCTACACAATCGCCGCATGTACCTACAGGCAAACAAGTCGCTCGATGAACCCAACGCCACCCAACGTGTAAACCAGTCAGTTCGCGGTGCCGTGCAGTATCCACAAGACGCATTTGGCCCCAACATTGCGCTGCTGGATGCAGGGAACGGGGAGCCGATGGAGCTGTGCCGCGAGGCTTCCGCAGCGGTCGACTCGACGCATGTCGACCACCACCACTATCCATAGCATGGCAGCACGATGCACCGCTGGTGCGTCGCTGCGCAATTGGCGCAACCGACGAAATCCTCGAAACTTGTGGGATTGTCAACTGCTGCGACGAGACGTTCACCCGCGTTCGTGGCATTCAGGCTCGTAGCATTCGCTCACGGGCGATACGTTGGCTGACACCCGTCGCTACGACGCATATTGTCAAGTCACACACCTGACGATGCATGCGACAATCAGCTCCAAACCACCCCCAACGTGTGAATGATCGAAGGGGCCGACCCAATCCATTCGAATGAGTGCATCGTCGTTGTCTCCAACCTCGCAACCATCCTGTGCCCTTCGATGCCTCCTTGACACTGGCTGACATGAGCCAAGTGCTCGCTGTGCCACCCGTGTCGAACCACTTCGACGTGAAACCTGCCGTTGTTGTACAGACATGCCTGATGCATCAAGCAATTCTTGTCACCGCCATCACGATGCGCCACCCGCCACGAACGCTGAGGTCGCATCGATTCGGAGGGACTCCCGATCTGGACCGGTGCTAGACGCCATGTTAAACAATCGCAGTGGCGATAGCGACCAAAGACTTGGGTGGTCCACGTCCATCTCGCAACGGCCATCGCCCCCGATCAGACCTGACAGCGTTAACGCCTCGTCCCGTTGCCAACTGCTGGTTCGAGGTAGTGCAAAATTTGCGTATGGAGGGCGGGTTCATCGAGGCGCAGGCGAAGGCCACGTGGCTCCGCCAATTTCAGTGCAAGCAGTGCGACAACTGGTGGTGGGGTGTCTCGAGACAATGCCGCATTTGCCGCCGCACCGTCGCCCCAGTCCAGTTGAAGGACATGTTGGGAATTGGGTGGTTTGAATGCGATCAATGCGATCGCAAGTTTGCCGGGTTTTGTCAAGGCAACGTGCCGTCCGCGTGCCACAGCTGCGGGAAAAAATGCTGGGCCAGCTTCATTGTCCCTGGGGCCAAGGCCTCGTCCAGCGGGCGCGACCACCACGACTGCAACGAGTGCCATGGCGATGGAAAGTGTTGGGTTGTCGAGATGGCGAAACAACGCGCATCAAAAGGACAGTCCCACGAGTACTGAGACACCTTAGCCGAATCGTGCATGCTGTCACGTGAAGTTACATGGAGAGGGAGGACCTTGAATTAAATCGTGTCATGGCAATCTTTGCAACCGAACTATGTCAACGCGTGAGCAGACTGGAAGTCGATGGAACGGACGTGTGCTGTCGAATCTAGCCGTACGCGATCTAGGCGAGGGAAGTTGGTGTGCAGTGGGCGGAGCTATGAGGGTCACAAGAGCAGTCGCATTCGACGCTTGCCCCTGTTGTCTCCAACTCAATGGAGGACGTAGGCGCCATGGCGAAGCCGTCGCTCACTCGTTCCATGGACGTTGCTGGATCGATCGATGTCCTACAGAGGCGTGCTGTGCAACGCCCCCGTCCTGCAGACATGGGCGCGGAAAATGACGAATTCGAGAACCGGGAAACGAAATCGAGACTCCCTCGTCAAGCACAAAATATTATCGTCATAGGATTGCACCGACGCTTAGGCGATCCATGCGGCGGCAACGGCCACGACAACGAATGATCCGACCAGAGTCGATGCGCTCGAAATCACGACAGGTTTGGGGGTCGTCGTGGTGGGAGCTTCTGTCGTGGGTTTCGGAGTCGTCGCCCCACTGCAAGCAGATGCGACGACCGACGCCGGCAGTCCTTGCACAGTACACGTCAACCCATCGTACATCTTGAGGGCAGACGTGCAGTCGCTGAACTGGCACAATGCAACGAGGCCGGAGAGCGACGTGGGAACGGCGGTGAGACCAGCTACGTACAGGCACGACTGGAGCTGCTTTGGGAACGACGACGGAGTGTCCTTGGTCGTGCACTCGCCTCCCATCGAATTTGGTTTGGTCGTGCTCGTCGGGTCCTTCACGTACGGATCGCACACGGTGGCAAAGTTGCTCACTGGATCTCCATCCTCCGTGCACGTGAAGGTGGCGTAACTGCGGGTGTACTTGACACACGAAGGGTACGAGCAGTACTCGGCGAGGTTGGACCTGGTGAGGTTCACAATGCCCGAGTCCGTGCGGCACGTCCTGAACATACTACTGAGTGGCGCGTAGTCGGAATCCGTGCACGGCTCCCCTCCCGTGGAAGGCGTGCGAGTCGTCGTGGACGGAGATGATGTCGAGGGCTTGGACGTTGTTGAGGGCTTGGAGGTGGTCGAGGGCGTTGGCGTAGCAGAGCACATGGTTGCCAGCGGGGTGGTCGGCGACCCATCCAACGTGCATGAGAGCAGCGCGATTTTCTTGTACCATTGGACGCACTCGCTGTACTTGCACGCGTTCATCATGTCGGTGCCCGTGGGGTTCGCAGGCAGGTTGGCCGCGATACGGCACGACACCCACAGCGAGTTGTAAGGATAGAAGTCGGTGGCGTCGCATTCGCGGCCATAGATAATGGATGCCGCTGTGGCGAGGACAACGAAAGCCAGGCGTTGCATCGTCCACACGGTTCGTGCCAGATCGAAAAGTGACGACGAAGTGGGCAGTCGCCATCGAGCCTTGACGCTGTTGGCGCAGGATGAGTTTCGAGCGAAACCAATTGTGGGGGGGCTGCAACTCGTCAATGTGGGAGTGCGTGTTACCAAATTATAGTTCAAAGATATCTTGATTTTATGATTACATTTGATTCATGATATATAAACGTGCTCAGAAATATAAATTTTGCATTGCTTCCATTCCCATAAATTCCGCAGGTACAAGTGCGAAACCCGGAGCGCCGCCGAACACTCTCGACCAAACGTGACGAAACCATGAAGATTCGCCGCACGATCGACGCCACACCAGCAACCACGAGGTCATGACGTCGACACAACACGCCGTGGACTACAGCATGGCAAGGATGGACCATGCGCGTTTTATTTGGGAAATGGCGGGAAAGCGTTGGCACCGCCGTGTGCAAATCTTTGTGCACTCTCTGGATTCAGTTCTGTCGTCAATTGTGCGCCTGGGCCGAAGTTCAATTTTCGCTTGCTTTTGGACAGCAAGGTCCAAACGACATGGTACTACTAGTAGTAGGCCAACCAGTCCAGGCATACTAGTAGTAGTACTATCGGTCATGATTTTCACAAAAACTGGAAAATGGTGAAGATAAATTCGGTGAAATAGGCAGGGATTTTTCCTGAAATCCACGCAAGAATTTTGGGATTTTTGCAATGTCGTGGGATGTTTGGGTCCGAAATCGGGAATTGGAACGGTGGACACATGAGCGGCGCCAGCGACAACGAGGACGAATATGTTGAGCCTGTGTACCTCGACCTGGAAGGACGAGAAATGTACTTGGTGAAGCTTCCAGTACGTTCTGCCTTTGACACGAACGACGATGACATGCTGCGGTGTAGAAGGAACTGGGCGCCGCATGGAAGACCAACACAGGTACGACCCCTGCACGTACGTCGCGTTCACGGGATTCACCTGCTCGACGCAAGTAGACACTGAAGTCGTATTGGGCACACTCAAGATGAACAAGCGCGATGCTGCAGGCTTCCGCAAGGTATCCTCGTTGCGTGTGTAGAGTGGGGTTCATCACGTCAAAACGTGGTTGCAGGGCCAGTTGAGTGTGAATCCGGAGACGCTGTCCGAGGAGATTCCATTAGATTACCGTACGGTGCTGGCGCCAACCAACTTGTCCCTCAAGGTGTTCTCGCAAGACGGATCGGGTCGCATGGCAATCGAAGGCAAGATTACGGAGTCGTGTACGTTGATGCCGCAACCGGGTGCGCTGTACAAGAAGCAGCTCGGAGACCGGTACATCAAGTCGATGCAAAAGGGGTACGCCATCCTCGGTCCTATCGTCAGTTCATTCATCGTGGCAATAGTACCGTCGTTCCTCTCGAGAGCACGCCGAAGCAGGTGAAGGGCAGCATCACGCTCAAGATCCCGAAGCCGCGGGAGAGCGACGATGAAGAAGAGGATGACGCAAAGTACAGCAAAGAGAAGGACAGCAAGAAGATTAAGATGGACCGCGAAGCCCTGAAGAACGAGATCTTCAAACAATTCGAGAAGCGCGACTTCTGGCCGCTGAAGGAGCTCAACTTGCATTGCCGGCAGCCCGAGGTGCATCGAGCCACACGTTTCTGTTTCGTTCGTTCACGTTTATGACCATGCTGTTGCTGCGTCTTAGGCGTATTTGAAAGAAATCTTGCGCGAGATCTGCATTTACCACAAGAAAGGGCCGAACAAGAGCTGCTACGAGTTGCAGCCCCATCTCAAGGGCCAGCACAACAGCTAAGGCATCGATCGGACAAGATCGTTGTTCGGCTCGACTATATATACGAATGCATTCGTTTTTTGGAGGCGATGCTCCTGGTTACGTCAACGCGACCGCGCCCAATGCATCCGTGGCGTCTTCGATGGCGCGGCACAACCGATGCAATTGATGCTTGGCATCGATCACGCTGGCGTCGCTGAGTGCGTTGAACACGCCCGGGAACACTGTCATGTTGTAGTCGTTCCAGACGGAATGGCCATATACAGACTAGAAGTCACGTGAGAAATGGAACCGGACGCCTCCAAACAACGTACGTGCTTGAGCCAGGGCTTTCCCGGCAGGCCTTCCGGAAACAAGAACGCGCGCTCGGTCATCATGAGGCGATTGTTCATGTCCCGCGCGCGCTTCACATCGACGACCATTTGACCGTTGAGCACGTCGAGCATTTCATCTTGCATCAGCGTGATTTCCTGCAAAACGATTCAACTCGTGTCAATGCAGGCAGCGCAGCAGCATGATCGTACTGTGTTGGCGTGATGGGCAGCTTTCTCAAACGTCGAAATGGCTCGCTCGAGGCGCTCGAGGTTTAGCGTGAACGCCCCGTACGTCTTGAGCACGCGCGTGAGTTCATCCTTGCCCGTGCGGAGGTCCTTGGCGTACTCTGCAAAGTCGTACGGCAAGAAGACCGCGTCGCTAAACGTGAGCAAGGCGCTCCCGTAGAGCTGCGCCGCAGCGCGGTGGAACGTAAATGACGGGTCGCCAAAGCTCTTCATCCATTCGAGGGTGTCGTATGTGGTGTCGTCGATGCCCGAGGACAGCGCTGCATCAAATCCCATCTCCACAACAGGGACACCAAGCCGGCCGACAAATGGCGACAGGATGTGGCGCGTGCCAGGCGTCAACACCGCCGGGACGAAGGCCTTGGGCGTTTGCGACTTGGTTTGCTTGAGCCAGTAGTAGTAGATCGAATCGGACACAGTGTTCGACAGGTCTTCCCACACCATCGTCATGTTCGAATGCGAGGTGACAGTGCCAGCGGCTGGCCCATCAACGCTCGGTGTCGAAGATGTCGATGCGTCCGGGTTGGCCACACCCAGTGTCGTCAAGTACAGCATCGTGCGAAGGGACGAGCTGGCTTCGACAGTCAACGGGCCGGGCCCGAGCACCGGATCGCGAATGTTCATGAACACGACGGCGCGCGACGCGAAGTTGGACGCGTGCTTGTCGATCCATTCGGCCGTCCCGACGTTCCCATAGTCTTCAGCATCGATGGACGCGAGGAAGATTGTGCGGTGCGGCGCCCACCCTTGGCCAAGAAGTGCGCCGAGGCCGCGAAGAAGTTCAATGAAGACAGCGTTGCCACTACCCCGACCATCAGAGTAAAACTTGGCATTTCACAGCCACCGATGCAGTGTCAAGGCTTTACCTGCCAGGGTCGGTAGCTCCAGACATGGCAGAGTCGCGCTGACTGCCCACAAGCACAATGCGATCGGCTTCGCGCGTCCCTTCAAGAGAGATAACTACGTTCCAAGTCTTCTTGACCACATATTTGTGCTACAACGCCGATGAGCCCTCCGGGATCCCTCCACCATGAACGAACATACCACGTTGTCCACAAAGACGGTCGAGGTGCTGGCACCACACAAGTTGGCGGCGTCAACACCGCTGACAAAGTTGGAAAAGACTTGGGATGCAGAAGGACCGGTCTTGATCGTTGCCAACAGCGCGGACGCGACGTCGGCCGAGATGGGGACGCTAACAATTTGCGGGATGAAATTGCGCGTGTTGTCGTCGGAAAAGATCAAGTCTTGCGGCAATCGTTCGATGCCGGGTACGGAAACGTCGTCGGGTGTCGAAGGGTCACCGTTGCCCATGTAGACAGTGCCAAAGGCCGCGCGATCGTTGGGTTGGTACGGGCCATTCGGCCACTGTTTGCCACGAAGGCTGCCGTTGTCCGCTGGGTCGCTATCGATCGAATGACGCACGAGATGAAAACGACATGGAAGGAAGAGAACTTGTTTACCTGTAAGTGAGGACAGCAATGGCCCCGATGTCCTTAGCCAGGTGGATCTTTGCCGGCAGCGAGATGCAGCCAAGCCGTACGATCAGCACGGCACCAGTCAAGTTGACTCCGGCATTGCGCAGTGCCTACATCACTGGAGCGTAAGCATACCGTCCATGGAGACGATACAGCGAACGTTAAAGTCTTGAGTGCGGCCGTAATGTGCGTAAACGAGCGGCCCGCGCGCGGTCCCGTTCATGGAGTAAAAGTGATACGGCACAGGCTAGATACACATGGATATGAGCTTGGTAAGAGCGAAAGAGCGATGGGCTCAAAGAAATACCTTGGACTTGTCCTTGGTGGCGGCCGTTAGGTCGTACACATTGTCTGGTTTGCCGTTTTCGCCGACAACTCCCACGCGAATTGACACGGGCTCGTTCAACAACAGCTCGTAGTCACTCAATTTGACATTGTCTTCTGGAAATCCAAAATCCCGCGCTTTCTCGGCGATGTACTGGGCCATCGAATAGTCACCCGTGCTGCCAGCCAGACGAGATTCCTACCACATTGTTACCATTTCAAGTGACGTCGTGATGGTTGCATCATACCCGGGTGTAGTAAGTGAGAGTTTCCTTCGCCCCCGCAGCCTTCGTGGCGAGCATAAAGTTCTTTTGATTGGGGGTGAGTGCACTATTTTGAAGAAGGTCGCGAAAAAAGTGGGCCCCAAGACAACGCTGCAGTACGACGACAGTAGATACCTCAAGTGTTCGTTCCCGGACAAGACACGAATCATGGCAATGCATACAAACACGGACAGCATCAGCGCGATGAGGGAACCACATCCGATCGCTTGTCGACGTTTCGCCTCTGCCTTGGACAACGTCGGGGGAGATCGATTCGCCCGAGGACTGTCCGCATACAAGTTGGGTGCCTTCTCACTTGGCTCGGGGATTGTGAGCTTGGACGGACGGCGACTCCCCTTGACCGTCAGCACGACCTCTTCCTCAACGTCGTCTTCCTCCGTGAACTGGTCCTCATGCGACAGAGTCATCGCTTCTGCCTCGCTCGATTCAACACTAACGCCGTCGGTCGTTTTGCGTTCCCTTCGGGGGTTTCGTCCGTTTCATCATTCCGGTTAAACTAAATCCTCGGCATCGGATTATCCGGAAACCCACTGTCTGAGCAGGATGAAGGGGACTAAGAACGCGGCGGCGATGAGTGCCTTGAAGAGATCGATGGGCCACAAGTAGACATGTGGGTCGCCCTCTCGGTGCCATCCTGAGCGAATTCTGTGCGGCAGTGTTGAGCCTGTGCATTGGGACAGTAGGCTACGCAGAAGGGCTAGCAAAGTTGGTACCTCATGCCTAATCTCACCAACAGGCACTGCGTTGGAGAGCTCATCTGTGCTGAGGTCAATGTTAAGCTAACTGGGAGAGCTTGATGGCGAATGCAGTTGATCGGTCCGACTTCATTCGCAGGAAGTTCGCCGCTATGTGGTTGATCGGTCCGACTTCATTCGGAGGAAGTTCGTCGCTCTCGTCAAGCAAAAGAGACATATTTAGCAACGACAAACCTGGAGATGTAGTGTACACGACCTCCACGACGTGGAGTCACAAAGCGCGCCGTTTGCAGCGGGGATAGACATCGGCCGCCAATCATCTCTGCAAGGATATATCGCCCTTGTCGTCGTCCGTGTTATACCGTCTGTACCACACTCGGATGCCTGATCTACAGCGCTGCTCTTCATCCCAAATTCAAGCCTCATCACCTCACCTCTACCATCACCCTTCGCACAACCATCCCAAGCTATACGCGCGTCTTGTGCCTTGACGGCGGCGTCGACCGTTGGTCATGCATCATCTGGATCGTCTCGAGATCGAGCGCGGGCTCAGACTCATGCCACAAGCGTCGCAAGCAGTACACCTCATGTCAGCAGACCAGGTCCAGTTTTCGTCCGGAGCGCAGAACCCACCCGCGCCGACATGTTGCACCGAGCCCCGATTCTCTCCCCCCACGTGCCAGTAGAGCAGAGTCTGAAGTCGCTGGCCTGGGCATTGTACACTCTATAATTTATTTTTACTCGAATTGATTCTACTCCTGTCGACAGCGACTACTACTCTACGCCACCTTACAACCTTCTCATTCACAGACCACTCATGCTGCGCCCCTTGCACTTGTCAGCACGTTCCCACAGCGCGTGGATGGCTTGGTCGATTGCCTCCAAAAAGGCGGGCGATGACACATCGCCGACCGACTGAATGACAGAGTCCACAAGCAACTCCAATTTGGACGGCGAGCTGCCACACCCTTCGCGCTGCACGACCGCCCCCACGTCGTACAGGGAAAACCCATTCTCGACGCCTTTCTGCAGGAGCTTGGTGCACACCTGCATTGTCGCAATGCACTCTTCTGGCAGGCCGAGCGAGCGCAGGGTAGCTGCATCTTGCTCTGTGTCCAACGACGCCACGTGCGCCGCGGCTTCGGGGCTGAGGGGAAACTTGGCTTGTGGCCAATGCAGCCACTCAAACGTGGCCGAGTCCAAGTGTTTCACGGAGGGAAGGCAGAGACCGTGGTCGATCGGGACCATTTTGTACAACGACGAGGGCGACGACGGAGGTTGTTGGAGGAGAATGTTGCCGGCATGGCGGTCCGTGTTGAAGAGGCGCAAGTCCAAAATGGCAATCTTGTGGACATCCGCTACACCAAAGCGAAGGGTTCCGACGTCTTCCGCAGAGCTTTCGCACTGGATAAACGCTTGCACCGACCCGTCCTTCCACGTGCCATCGATTGGCAACGAGACGAACTGGGTCACAGGGACACCACTAAAGTTATTGTACGCAGCGTCCAAGAGGTAGGCGGCGACTTCGCGGACGGCACCGTCGCCGACGCGGAATCCCATTTTGGCGGGATGCGGGGTTTCACCGACGACGGCGCCGGGGCAACGGTACCCGCGGGGGTTCTGCGGCGCCATGTACTCTTCGTCCATGGGCTTGAACACACCGAGCGGAATGGGACTGCTTGTAGGTTGAACAAGGTAGACCCCACCGCAACCATCAGATGTCATCTCGAGCGTGGCATGTTGCTGGACGACGGCGGTCGTGACAAGCGCGCGGAGGGCTGTCGCGGGGTTGACAGCGTCCACCGTCGATTCACGAGTGGTCAGAGGAGTGGTAACAAGGTCCACCGGCGAAGGCGAGCACGCTGTGGCTTTCGTCCAGGCTGCAATGTTGCTAGGCTGCTTGAAGACGACTCTGGGTAAGAAATTGAGCACGAGGGAGCTCTTCTTGGCTTGGAGAGCTGCAACGAGCGCCGCGCTGCGGTGCTTGCTGCCTTTATACATCAACAGCCATGCAGTGGTCGCCGACGACGTGTTGGCGGTCGATTTGTTCAAGGCGGAGACGTACGCCGCATACATCGACATGGCTCGGTGTAATGGGGGCGGCACGTCGCCAATGCTAAAGTGACGACCCCGCGGTGCCCAGACGGCGGTCGTTCTTCTTCTAGCGGTTGGCTACAGCAACTTCAAGTTCCACTCTCAACATGTCAAAAAGGGGTGCACTTTGCCAAAAACGGGCGCTGCCGACACCCGATCAGGAGGTGCAGGGGCCGTTTCGGCCGTCGTCGCCCCTTTGGCCCATCTCTCGCGCATGGAGGGATGCACATCTCCCGCGAACGGCATCGTGCTCTCCCAGGATATGCTCTCCCAAGGGACGCCAGACGTCGGCGACCTCGCCCCCGTCCGACAAGCTACCCGCGACATGCGAAGACAGTAGCTAGCCGCGACATGCGAACGCAATACCTCCGAAGAGAACCCACGCAACGGTGGGGTCGTGGGGTGGGCTTGTCGTGTTGTGCTCTCGACCAGTGGCAGCGGGCAATTTTACAACGAACCAATCAAATGGTGCGTATCGGGTGTGCTGGATCCAAACGATCCAATCAAATCGCACAAACGAAGCGACAACGCGGCAAAGAGACACCGACGACATCGTCGTGGCGGCCGCAGTATCTCTGCACAAGGCGAGCCGACCGAGCGCTCGACTCGGACGATACTACGGTACTAACGTCACCACGAAGGTGGACGATAAAAGATGGGTCGATTGGGATGGGGTGCAGCCTCTGCACGGTGGGGATGTAGATGCTGCCGGGTGCAGGAATGCAGCGAAATGAAAACCGTCTATTTCCATGGCATGTCGTCGCGCAAGGATGTGGTGGAGGCGTGCACGAGGAGTGCGATGTGCCACTGTGCTTCTAATAGACGAATGCACGAGAATTTCTCGAAGGTTTAGTCCGCCATTCAGTGTAGTCCAACACACATTATTTGATCCAATCAAACGCATGGAATGAAATGGAAGGCGTTTGATTGGTTTATTATTCAAATATCGCAACAAGCACGTGTGGAGCAACATGGTCCGTTTTTGGCCAATTGTTGTACCATTTCATTTGGAATTTGTATGCAACGGGTACAAATTCGATCCGTGTCGAGAAGGCACGCGAGATTCGGAGCTCACCCACTCCATCCCGACAGGAAGGCACATGGGGCGGATAACTGGATCCAGGTTCATGCAGGAAGAGTTGGGATGCACGCGTCCGAATGGAGCATGCCACTACCCAAAGCCCTTACGGCGCTCCCTCCTACGCCTCTTAGTTGTATCCGATCAACTTGCTTGGGATTGTGTAGCCGTAAAAGTCGCAAATACGTCTTGAGAGTACATCACACCAAACGAATTCACGACAGAAAGAATGCTGGCTCGGACAATCCCCCCGCACGACATACTGAACCCCGCCCTGGCGGCGACTGTCCTGGGAGCATATCTTCGTGTTGCGTACAGGATCGGGTTGTAAAACATCAGTCGGGCAGCGTGAGTCGTATTCATTGACATGGACAATGAAAGTTTGACGTCCCCGACGTGGAGGCACGCACGATGCCAACCGTGGTAAATGCAGCAGGCCCAGGAGGTGCCCACTCGAGATCGTGCGATCGTGCCCTCTGCGCTCGGTCAACATTAGCACTCACCACCAGCAAGAAGGAAGGCATGTGCGTACATCGGGCACGGCCGGCCCTGGCTTTCGATCTCCGCCATGCTTCTATCTCGTCGTTCATCTCGGCGGAAGGCTCATGGGAAATAGCCCGTGGCACGAGCACAAAGGAGTCGCGCATTCGGATACGACAAGGTCGAGTGTCTTCCGTGTGATTGGCAAAAAAACGAAAGATCGCAATCTTTCACACAGACTTGGTGCATATCGACAGCATCATCGGAGATGGAACGACTCGCGCGGTTGCTTGTCGCTGGTTTGGCCCCGCTTTCCGCTGCCAGTGACTCTATGAGCTCCACCGACGCGGCACAGCTCCTCAATGGCCGCGGACCCGCCACGTTTGCCTACTCGTCGTCCACCGGCATCAACATCGACACCCTCCTCGACAACTTTCCAGCGTGCGATAACAAGTGTGTCGGCACTACGCCGTGTGGGTCGACGTCGATCCTTACTGCCTTCGGAAGCAGCTCATGCGTTGCCACGACAAAGTCGAAATCCCCGTCCTGCCCCAATGCGTACGTGTGCTGTGACCCAGCAACTTGCCGAGCCAAGACACAAAGTCATTGCACCTATGGCACGTCCCACGTCGTCGACGACCTCAATGAACTCAGCTACAAGTCGGCACTTCAGTACTTGGCGTTCATCGGCGGCGACATGCCGGTGCCTCGCAATCCAATCGACGTTGAGGCCGTGTTTAATGTCCTCGAGAAGCCGCTGGACGCTGCCGTCAACAGCAAGCGTTGCGAGTCCCAGTGCAATGGATGGAATGGAATTTGGGGATGTCCAACTTCATGCGACTGCGTGAATTCTCCCGTGCCACCGTTGACCGTTGGTGAAAAGTACCGTTGCGTCGGGACTGGGTACGGCGCATCCGGGTATGCTTCTCCAGCCTCAAAACTTGCCAATGGAACTGTCGTGTGTCCTTCCGGCTACGCTTGCGACGATTCTGTCACGTCGACGACTCCATGCATCGGCCAGCCTATTCGAACCACGACAGGCGCACCTGCCTACCTGTCGCCGTCTCAGTCATCTGCACAGAACGTGAACGGATCGGACCAAACGACGGCGATTGCAGTCGGGTCCGCTTGTGGTGCCCTTGGGCTCGTCGGTGCAGGAGCAATGTACTTCATGTATCGGAAGAAGAAGAAACACGAGGACGACGAACATGCTGCGTCGGTGCTGGCATCACTCAGCAGCGACCACTACCACGAGGCTCCCAACGGCGCGTGAGGCGCCGGTGTGCGTTGGTGGAATGTGAGCGTCTCGAGCAATGTTGAAGTGGGGAAGTTGGGCAGGCCTACTAGACAGGGAACTAGTAGCCCCTTAACTTCGAACTACGTATTTCAATACAGTTATGTTAATACGTGTTGCTTCGAATTACGAAGCCTCGGCTGGAGTACTAATGCTGGAAGGGCGAATTGTGGCGGAAGGCATTGTTGATGGTGGGCGACGACGATGACACACTCTGTTCGACGGCAGCGGACGCCGAGATCCATGTTTCGATGGAGGTGACGGCGTGGGCATGCGAAGTCAGACAACTTCTCTCTCGTTTCATGTGCCTTGGTTCCGCTGTGTCTGTGCCTTTCCGTCCCGACAAGCTGGGCCAACCGTCGAGCAAAGGCGACGACACCAAAGGTTTAACAGACTCTCGTGTATACAAATTAACTCGGATGACCAAGTGCCCATTGCTGTGGACGCTGCAAGGAGAAGCAGACGGTGTGGTGCTTCGGTCGTACGGGCGTCACGACGTGGTCTTGTTTCCTCGAGTCGTCGGGACATTAGCTAAGTTGCACCGACAGATCGGTTCTCTCGATGGTCTTGCATTCGTGCGGATAGATGCCGTTCCTTTGAAGCTCTCGACTCGGCCCGACGCCACAATCCGTGAAATGTGCGACATCCTCCTCCATGTCCAAGCGTTGCGGCGCACTCGCGAAGTGATCAAGTCCACGCTACAAGCTCTTGGCCCGACAGTGTATGCAGCATTCCAGCGCGACTTGACCTCCAAGTATCACAAGCTAGCCCTGATGTACATGAATAACTACATCAAGAACACAGCACCCGAGCGAAAGCGGTGCCAGGAACGTATTCGGACACGGCAAACTCAATTCAAGACCTGGTTTGCCCACATGACCATCGACGCTCCCTCTTCCACCAGCACCCCGGCAGAAAAGGAAGACGACCTCTCCAACACTGCAGTCATCGACTTGGCGTCGTCGCCACCCCCTTCAACTCAACTCCACGATGCCCAACCCGAACGAAAAGAACTAGCCCCACAGGACTCGGTCGGGTCGACTCCTTCTCTAGCGACTAGTATCAACATCCAGCCGCGACCACCGTCCCCGCCACTCCATTTATCTTCCGATATGGATGTTGATATGGAAATCGACGCGTCGCCGCCGCCTGTCGAGCTCGTGCGACGAAACCCCGCCAAAGGTCGAATTGTCCACTGGCACGTGGAGAAACTGGTCGTCGCTTGCCGCGTTTCGAATCCGGACATGCCAGACGCGCGAGACGTGGCGGAGATTATGAAGGAAGCAATGGACTACCTCATGCCGCTCGACTGCTTCTCGGCCAACCAGTTGAATCAGACGATGCTGGCCATTGAAGCCGACTTGGCGAAGCGAGATGCCGTCGACATTCGCCGTCTTGTGGCTCCACTCGCCCTGAGTCCATACCTCACGTCGTTCTTTCCGACGCCGTTGAAGAAAGCAGTCAAGTTGCGCTCGCTTAACAGCCGCGGGTGCCGCGTCCACTTCAGCGACAAGCTGCACCACGTCAAGCACTTTCACTTTGACGAAGCCCCGACGGCAGTGCAGCAGGCACTTGTCCACGTGAACAACGACAACATTCGCGAGGGTGGCCCGATGCTCCCGAGGCGGCCAAGCCTTCCGTCGCATCCGTTTGTCGATGCCAGGCCTGCCAAGTACATTCGAAGGAATTGAATGGCGCTCGTTCGTTCCATTTGAACATTGAGAGCGTCCACCTTTGAATGTGACGACGTTATGGTGTCATGCTTTTCGTGCATACGGTCAAATTAGGCGCTGGCTTTCCCCAAGGAAAGCAGTTCTCGTGATATCCATGGATGAGCTGCGTGAGGTGCTAGCTACCGAGTACAACATGCTGCGGGGTCCTGGCAGGTGTAATGACCACGGGAGAGATGATGCGCTCGCAATTGCCGCCATTTTCACATGGCCTGCGTAGACAAAAGAAGGACAGTCGATTCGTCATGTGTTTGTAATGGGAGGTTATAAGGTCTAGTGCTTGGCGCCAAGTCGGGCCTTCCGTTCACGCTTGGCAATGGTTTTCGGATTGAAGTGACCCTTCTTGCGCGCCGCTTTCCACTTTTGACGGCCCGACGTACTGACGCCGATTCCGCCGTTTCCGTCATGGATGCGGTCTTCGTCAGGGTCTGGAAGACCCTTGGACTTCTTCGCCTTGCCCTCGTCGTGTGTGAACGTGTGGAGCGGGTCGTTGTCTGTCCGTCGCTTGTGGTTCTTTTTGTACGTGCCGCCGTGATGCTTCCGCTTCTTGGTTGGCGCAGGGGCTTGCAGCGCCGTTGGGACCAAATAGGACGGAATCGTGGCCAAATGTGGCTGGATGCGCGCCTTCCCAACTTGTTTGTCGTGCTGGAGGAGGTTCAGTTCGCGCGGATGGTCCTCAAAATGGGCGCGCAGCTTGTCCGAGTTGAGCATTTCCTTCTTCACGTCGTTCAACTGGGCTTCACGGACGGCGATGCCCGTGACGGCGCGGCGCACGTCTTCCACACGATACCGGAAGCAGTCAATGTCCTTCATATCGAACGCAAGCGGCGCTGGCTGGCTCAGCACGTCGTTCGATTCGAGCACAATCGGCGCTTGCTTCGACTGGACTCGGGCCAGCGACTTGGTCTCCGCAGCGTCGTTGGTGGCGACAAGGGAAATGGCCGTCCCGTTGGCGCCACCGCGCGCCGTTCGCCCAATACGATGCGTGTACGACTTGACGCTCTTGGGAAATTCGACGTTCACAACAAAGCTGACACCACGGAAGTCCACGCCGCGTGCGACACCAAAGCCTTGGTCGCGGTTCGAGTTGGCCGGCTTCGACTTGGCCTTGGTCGGACCGTCGGCATCGTCACCCATGTCATGCTCGTCTCCTCCGTCTTCTTCTCCGTCGTCTTCATCGTCCTCTTCATCGTCGTCTTCATCGTCCACTCCATCGTCGTCTTCATCGTCCTCTACGTCGTCATCACCTTCCGCTTCGTCATTCTCCTCTTCGTCGTCCTCTTCTTCGACCACATCCTCGTCATCTTCGTCAGCCTCGTCGTCGCCAATGTCATCTTCGTCCTCCTCTTCATCGTCATCTCCTTCGTCCTTGTCCATGCTGTCGTCCGTGGCAATCAAGTAATCAATCAACCCTCGGTTGAATTGCTCAATGATGTGCTGGCGAGAGTTGTGCGGCAGTTGGGCGTTGAGCACGGCGGCCGGGATGAGGAATTGCTCGAAAAACAACTTGAGGCGGTATGCGGCCGGCGTCGAGTTAACAAAGAAGATGATCTTGCCGTGGACAATGCCGAGCTTGATGAGGGCATACAGGAGCAAGTCCTTGTCCGTCTTGGCCACAGGCAAGTAGTATTGTGTGAGCTTGCCGTCGGTCGACCCTTCCTCGAGTTTCACGACCGCCGGATTGTGGAGCAATGCCTTCTTCAGCGCGTCCAGCTCCGGGCTGAGAGTAGCAGACATGAAAAAGTGCTGGCAAATCTTGGGCAGCGCATTGAAAATCTTTTTCACATCGTCACCGTACCCGAACGAGAGGATCATGTCAGCCTCGTCCATCACTACCGTGTGCACAGAGTGCTTGAGGTCGACGTTTCCCGCCTCCAAGTGGATCACGAGGCGGCTCGGCGTGGTGATCAAGATGTCGGGGAGGTCACGAAGGAGTGCTTGCTGGGCGTTGACAGTCTGGCCGCTCAAACCAAGCACGGACACAATGTCGCGGCAGTAGTACATGAGTTCCCAAAGATGCGCTTTCGTTTGATCGACCAGTTCCTTGGTCGGGACCAAGATGAGCGCCTTGATGCTCTTTTTCGTCGTTGGGGTGTGAGCTGCCAGCAGCTTTTGCAAAACCGGCAAGCAAAACGCAGCCGTTTTTCCCGACCCGGTACGCGCACGCACCAACAAGTCCTTGCCCTGTAGAGCAAGCGGGATGCAATGCTTCTGCACAAGGGTAGCGTGGACAAACTGCATCTTCGCGCATGCTTTGCTGAGACGCTTGTCCAGTCCAAAGTCGCATGCGCTGAACGGGACTTCGCCGTCGAGCACCGAAGGATTTACCGCTCCGGACATGGCGCTTCAACAATGAGCTATGGTTGGTCTCCAATCAAAACCGCCCAACAGGCCACCATTGGACAGGAGAACGCATTTGATTCACTGAAAATCGTTGCATTTCCATCCAAGTATATCATGTAATTTCATTTTACGCGATGTGATTGGCTGAAAAACGAATTCAAAATACGACCAATCGCATCTTGATGAACAAAATGAAGGCGATCAGCGCTGGCCGAGCGGCAAGGACCGCCACGGCCCTCGCTCATGCACAGACAATGCTCAAGAAATTGCGCCTGAAGCAGGTCGCTCTCAAGCAAGACGAGTTTGACAAACTGGTTGCTACCGCAGGACGCACATTGAACAGCTCTTCCGCGAAAGAAGTCCTCGAATTCATGGAATCGCAGGAGTATCCCAAAGTCGCGCCGACCACTCGCACGTACAACACGGTGCTCAAGTCGCTGTCTCGCGAAGGGCGCCATGCCTCAGTCGTGTCCGTCTTTCAACACATGGATACGCTCAACCTCGTCGACACAAGGAGCTACGACATTGCGCTGGATTCGTGTGGTTGGCATGGGGATGTTGCACGAGCGCGTCTCCTGCTCTTCGATATGGACCGCCGTGGCATTCCCCGCTCGACTGCGTCGTATCAAGGCGCAATCCATGCATGCATCCAATCGCACAACATTTCTCAAGCGCTTCGATTTTGGGACAGAATGATCAACACCGACGGGTTGCATCCGACTGTGCATGCGTACACTCAATTGCTTTCTGTTTTGTCGCCAAACAACCGTGGAGGCCGCTCCAGCACGGTCGATCATTCGACGCTCGTGACGCATTTCAACGAGGCATTTGGTACCTACGGGCTCCAGCCGACACGGAAGATGGCTCTGCTTGTGCTGAACGCGCTTCCTGTGGAGTGCATTTTTCCATGGCTCGAGAGCCTCAAGGAGCGAAATCTCGCAGTCAGGATGGATGGCGCCATCTACGTCGCAGCAATGAACAAGGCCGACTTGGCCGGCAAAGTCGACGTCGTCGTGGACTGCCTGTCGTTGTACTTTCAGCGCCGCCAAAGCAAGCTCGAACACGTGCTCCCCCTCCTCCGTGGGCTGCACCTGACCCCCCGTGGCGTCGATGCTGTCGTATCCCACGTTTGGAGCACTTTCCACGAGATTTCACCACACACACCGACGTTTAACGTCCTGCTCACGATGCTCGGGCGCGCGAACTTCAAAGCGAACGTCTTGAGTACGATGGAAACGATGGTACTGGCCAGCCATGCCGACCACCACAGCTTCCGCATAGCGTTGACGTACTGTGCCGTGCAGGACCGTCTCACGGTGCTGTCGTGGCTGGAATCATACGAACTGCCTCCTACCATCACGGACTCGGTCGTCGCATGGAACAGCGCGCTCCATGCGTGCTGCTTGCGCGGCCAGATGGACCTGGCCGAGTTAATTTTTGAGTACATGCCAGTGCTCCCGAACGCGGCGTCGTATGGGATTTTGTTCAAAGGATATGCCAAGCAGCCGTTCACGTACGTCGCTTCCGGCCATCGACCGCAGCTGCCTTGGCTCCACTGTGCAACGTCGAGTGATTTTGTGGTTTTAACGATACATGCATGAACTGTAGACCTGCGCTCGCTGCCGTCGTGCGCCAACACTACCACTCGATGTGCCAGGAGCAACTGACCCCGACAACGTCTGGGCTCTTTTGCTTCGTGCAGTGCCTCCGCCCTCGCGACGTCCTGCCGTTCCTCGACGCTCTCTTCCGCGCTGCCAAGACGCAGCCTGTGTCTCGGGACGTGTGCCACAGTGCGCTGGACGTGTGCCGAGTGCACGCATTGTGGGAAGATGCGATTGCCATCGCTGGCTTGATGGTAGGTGCTGAATGGCATCGTTCGTTCGTTCGCGTGAATATTTTCGTGGTCAATGTCGAGTAGACCAGACACAACGTTGTGCCCACCCACGAAACGCACTCGGTCGTGTTGCTCGCGTGTGCAAATGCCGGTCAATTCGATGCCGCCATGACGTACTTGCACTCGAGTGTCGCAGGAGACGCGGCTGCAACGACATCCGCTCGTTCCCCCAACGCAGTGTCCCACAAGTACGCGACTGCAACCATCACAGACGTGTTCAACGCTGCAATCGAAGTATGCGCCAAGACGAAACATGTTGACGAAGCGACGGCTCTTTACGAAGGCACGTGACTCCCATCGTGCGGAAAAGACGTCTCACTTTCAGCCGGGGCTGTACCTGACCGTCGTGCATGGCGTAGGCCTCCAGAAGATGGGACTTACACCCACCAGCACGACTGTGACGAGGTACATCAAGCTCCTCGCATCCACCGGCGACATCGCAGCAGCCCGGCAGCTCCTCTTGGACTGGCACACGTCGTCGACGGAGCTTGAGATGGACATCGCGCCGTACAACGCGCTTCTGAGCGCGTGTTGCGCGCAACGGGATGTCGACATGGCATTCACCATTCTCGAAGACCTCCAGGGCAGGACTTCACGTGCGGGTGGTGGACCTGGCACGAAATGGCGCGCCACCACCACAGATTCCTGGATCGTTACCCCAGACATCTACACGTACGGCCACTTGCTGCACGCTCTGTTGCAATCGGATGCGCGTTGTGTGGACGACATGCAGCGGTTGCTTCAAGATTTGATCGGCCAAGGCATCGAGCTGTCGGTCGTTCCATTCACGCTAGTCATGATCAAGTGCTTGAAGAAGGGAGTCCCACGGACTGCCCTCGACGTGTATGACTCGATGTTGATACAGCATAACGTCCTCCCGGATCATGTTGCCTTCCTTGTCTACGTGGACGCGTGGAAGCATTGCTTGGAGACCCCAACACAAGCGTCCAATGCCCCGATCGAGCTTTCTGTCGTCACGCGGCGCCTGCTGGACTCCAAGTGGGGTCTCCTCCACGCCACCGACAAGGACGAAGCGCCGGTACTGGTCCTGCGCGTGTTGCAACTGTTTCACGTCTTGTGGACGCAAAGAGACCTGAATCTGGTCGACGACGCCCGGTCGTTCCTCGACATGGTGGCCACGATGGAAGACGACGAGAATGAACTGCCGTGTTCGACCAAGAAGACCAAACTTTTGCTCGGCGACTCGTATGCTGTCGTGATGAGGCTTCTAAATGAAGCTGGACGTGCAGCCGAGTCGATTTCCCTCGTGGGCGAGATGAAAGCGCGGAGTACGCCGTTGTCTGTGGACTGCTACGTTGAATGGATGGTTGCGTTGGAGGAAGCAGAAAGATGGCCCGAGAGTACCGACGTATTTATGGAGATGCGCCGGTCGTGTGGACCCACCAGCGCGTCCGTGGACCAGCTGAGTCGAACGTACATGGGGCGGCAATTCCTGAGGTCGAATTCGGTGTCGACTCTTGGCAAAGATGCACAGAACTTCAAGACCAAGTAGATTCTAAGCGGTGCATTGGTGAATAGAGCGACTGCGCACGCATTGCCTTGTCGTCCTTGGCGTGGGAAGAGATTATTACCGCGGTCTTCGCGGCTCGAAGCGGTTCTTTCCAATTCTAGGGGACATGACCCCAAATTCTCAAATCTGATTGGTCAATATACATGCTTTTGGTCCAATCCGACGGTGATTTAAGTCGTCATCTGCGGTCGGGAGGAGCGCGATGTCGTACCTGTCGACGTCGACGCACTTGAACAACTGGATCTTCACGCCAGACCAGCTCCAGCAGGCGGCAAGGCTCAAGGCAAACAAGGCGAGGAAGCAATGGGCCATGTGCGCAGCGAACCCCTTGCTCCCGCGGAAACCTCGTTCGTTTGCTTGTTTGTTGCCCAGCACAACAAACGCCACCATGGACTCGACCGACTGGAACGATGCTTTGGAAGGTAAAGCACCGTGCAAGCGATCATCATGCGCACGACTCAGGTCGTATCATGTAGAGATTGATCTGGGTACTGTTGAGGATCCGTCCATCTTCTTGACCGACGAAGAGGAAGCGATGGTGGTCGACTTCTACCAAATCCAAGTCCAGAACACATGCACATCCATCTTCAAGACGTCCGACAAAGTCAAGGTGATTTCATGTCGAAGCGACATTCCTCCGTCCTGACGATCCTACCTGCAGGCCGCGGCGCTGCTACTCTTCAAGCGATTCTACCTCTCGAACAGTATCATGGAGTTCCACCCAAAGTACATCGGGGCGACGAGCATCTACGTGGCTGGAAAGGTCGAGGAGCAGTACATTAGCGTCGAGACGCTCGTGAAATCTTACGAAGGCGTGGTATGCCCGACGACGCCACAACCGTTTTCCTAGTCATGATGTCGTGTGCAGATCAAGGAATCGGACGTCGTCGCGCATGAAATGATTGTCCTCGAAGGCGTACGCTTCCAACTGATCATGTACCATCCGTTTCGATCGTTAACAGGTTTCATCGATGATCTCCGCGCATTTGCCAAGTCGTCCCGCGGCAACGGCACGGATGTCCCGCTCGCGACACTCCAGACCCTCCATGCCACAGCCACAGGCGTGATCAACGAACTTCTTTTGACGGACTCACCGTTCCTGTACGCTCCGTCAATCGTGGCCTTGGCCGGTCAGTTTCCACATATCGCATTGTTTGTCGAGCTCAGGTTTGTTTGCAGCGTTGCAAGTGGCAACTGCCGACTCCATGAACATCAATTGGGCGCACTACCTGACGTCGTGCAAGCGAAGTCAGGGACAGCCGATGCAGCGAATCACGCAAGCCATGGACGAGATTCTCCAGCTACGAACCACCCGCGACACCAAGCCCGCAGCATCCGAGGCGCAGCTCAAGGCAGCGTACAAAAAGCTCAAGACGTTCTTCAAGTCGGCGAAGAAAGCTCCAGACGACGGGTCGAAAGGCGCCAAGGACGACGACCATGCCAAAGAACCCAAGAAGAAGAAACACAAGTCGTCCGATGGGAAAAAGGCCAAGAAACCCAAGAAAGGAGATGCCTAAATGAACAGTACAATATGTGCGCCGCTTGATCACACGGCACCACGAGTGGACAGATGCGCCGCCGAGAATCGTTCTCGCGCCGTCGGGGACACAGCGTTCCTTCTATGTAAAAGACGTCATAGGAAGGGGATACGTACTGTACGTAGCAGCTCGCAACGATACATTCAGTCCAGGGTCGGTGCTGTGGTGCCGTGCTACGCGCCCGTCACCCAGTCTTGCCGACACATCTCTGTCGAGTTGGCCTTCAACTCCCGGCCACGCCGGTGTCCATCGCCGCCGCCCGGTCACCCTGCCGCGTGTGGTGACAGTCCCATCAACGAATGTGAAATGACTCTGGGTGCCATGCAAAAGATGCAATTTGTAAGCAATTGAAAGCCTATAATTTGTAGCAATTGATTTTGGATTTTGAAAGACTTTGTGTCAACGAACTGGATTTTCAAAAATTAGATTTGAACCTTCTGCACAGTTTACACGAAACCCCACCGTTTCGGCCGCCTTGAAAGCAGGGAGTCGCCCCTTCTTGCGAAGAAACTTCAGATCCGACTTGACGAGCCATGGGACACTGCTGCTCGAAGCGGCGCCCCGAAATCGATGACGGCGATGTCATCAAGCCTGCCGCGGCGAAGGGCCTCGCCACCATTGAGGTGGCGAGCCCGGCCGTCCCTTCCTCGTTTCACCAGGTCCAGTCGACGACGACCGCACCACGCAAGGCCGACATGACTGTCGGGACGGCATTGCGCCGAGAGACATTTGAGGAAGGCAACAACGACACGATTATGCCGCTCTCAGGTGGCTCGCCGTCAAGAGACGACTTATACGGGTCCTCCATCACGTCGTCCAAGTATATTTATACGTCGCCACCGTCGTCCCCTTCCAAGAGTAGCGAGGAGCCGCAAGTGGAAGACTTGCAAGACTTATCTCAGCAATACCAAACGCAGCAACAACAACAAGAAAGACAACAACAGCAGCAGCAGCATGCGGTGTACATTCCACCGGAAGACCGACCGATCGAGTCTATGTTCATACGCGAGGAACGGATTCGACTGGCTCAAATTCAGGAGCAACTACGGCTCGAGCGACAAGCCGCGAACGACAAGTGGGTTGCTGAGTTGCGCGAGAAGAAGAAGGAGTTTCTTCCAGATGTCGTCGTGTATCGAGAGTTCTCGCCGCGTGTGGACTGAGCTGGCATCGTCGGATCACGCGAAAAGGCGGCAACGAGTCGTCATCACTTATATATTTTGAATCTGTTTCAGTCGCTTGGCTACGAGTGTTGTGCCATGCATCGACTAGCTCCATCCAAATACTCCGCGACCGACATCATGGAGCTAAATGAGCGGCAGGGATTCCACGTTGCGCGTGGAGCCTAGTTTGCTGTGGTGCATCCCAAAGCACCCGTACAAGAGAATGCCGACACACATCCAAATACCGACGCCCGTCCTACCGCGAGTGTTAGCACATGTGGCGTTGATAAAGTTTGCATGTGAATACCAAGCCAGGAGCGGCAAGCTCGTCATCATATACGTGTTGGAGAAGATGCCGAGGCATGGCACGGCGGGAACCCACGGGCACACGAACACAGTCGACGAGCACACTCTGCACCGATGAAAGTGTGAGTCCGACGTCGATTCGCACGATGGGACTTTGCGCAATACGTACGGGTGCAACGTGCCGTTGTGAATCCAACAGTACGTAGCGAGGACGGTGGCGCCGAGAGAGAGCTGGGCGGCGACGGGGACGTCAAGGTTGATGGTGAGGCACGTGGCAAACGAAGCCAGAACGAACCACACGAGGCGGATGGGAAACGATACGGTCGACAGCCAGTGGCCGAGTGAGTGGTTTGATGGACTGGTAGAGGTCGCGTCGTAACGAAGGACAAGCAGACCAGCGTTGACAAACGTAAAGACCTGCATGCCGTGAGGAGCTGATGGAAAGGATGGATAGATGGCGGGACCATTCGTACCATGAGGGTACCGCATGAAATCACGTTGGCGAGGACGTTCAGGTCGAAGAAATAGGCAAACGTGGCAACGCCGACGCCAGTCAGGATCGTGCTCCAGTACGGCACCTGCTCACACGGCGTTTGTCAACGTGCCACGTCATGAAGACAAAAGGTACTTGAGTGGACGCGTGGACGGCCGAGAGACAATCGGGCAGCAAACCCTGCGCGTGCTTGTCAAACGAATCGAGATGGAAATTGCAAGTACATCTTTGGCCATTTGGTAAAAGATGCGGGGCTGGCCCATAAGGCACGTGAAGGCGGCCGTGGTGAGCCCAAACATGGACCCGAACGACACGACGTGTGTGACCTGGCGCGTGTTGTGACGCGAACGGATGGCTGCAGACAACGTCATCGTAGGTACCCAAGTGAGTTGATGAAAGTCAAATGCGTTGACAATCGGGACATCCGTGCCAAGGATTGCGGCAGGGGCCATGCTGCACTGCGTCAAGAAAACTCGAGTGAAAACGGATGAAAAAACATACCCCGTGATGACGAGCGACACGCCAATGTAAATGGACATGGAGATCAAAAGGGACCCGATGATTCCACGGGGCACGTTCGTTTGGGGGTTTGGCACTTCCTCCGCCAAGCACGCGACCATGTCAAAGCCGAGGTAGGCAAAGAAAATGACCCCGGCCCCTTGCATGATACCGTGGGCTCCCTACATCAACGGTAGGTTGGTGTGTGGGGCACGAAAGGACAAGAGCGCATGCAGACCTCTGGCGCGAAGGGTTCCCAGTTCGATACGTCGACTTCCGTGCTGCCGACGGCAATGACCAGCAGCAGCACAGCCACGTTCAACGCCGTAACGACCATATTGAATTTCGCTGACTCCTATGTGGAAGTGAAAACTTCTTACGATCACGATGGTAACTTACGTGCACCCCAGCAAGCAAAATCACACTTAACACAACGATCAGTGCGGCAGCCAGCGCGCTGCAGCTCAATCCCCATGCATCAATCGCGATCCATTCGCGAGGAATGTGGACGCCCCATTGCTACGCATCGATATTTTGTTTAGGCAATGCTTAGGCAAGACGAAAGGTGTACAGCGACTCACGCACCCGCATGAAGATGGCGATGTACGATGCCCAGCTCCGCGCGATACCAGCTACACGGCAGAGTCAAGAGATGAAGCGAAGCATGCACGTGTACCTGCGGAGATGCCATACCCAAGCATGAGGTTCCATCCGATCAACCACGCCGCCAATTCGCCAAACGTGACATAAACAAACGAATAGGCTGAACCGGTGATCTATATGGATGTCAATACTCAGCTTGGTCGAGACACTTGAACTTACTGGTACGCGCGCGGCAAACTCCGAGTACGTGAGCGACGTGAAGATGCATGCGATACCGCTGATGAGAAACGAGATCGAGATGGACGGCCCGGTGATGTTTGCGCCAATGCCAATTAACGAATAGACACCAGCACCCACAGAGCATCCCACGCCGTAGCAAATGAGGTCGAAGAGGGTGAGACACCGCTTCAGAGAAGATGTGTGCTCGTTCAGGTGCAGATCCTTCGGCAATGGCTTCGTGCGGCCGAACGCTTGAAGCCAAGTCGAAACCATCGCGGTGGAGGGTGGTGGAACGAATTGTGATTTTAATGTGGATGCCATGCACACACTTGATATTTTTAATGTTTTTTATTCCCTACTCAATGCCAAGTACGTGATTTTGATCAAGTTCAACTTGAACGGTCACGTCGGGGCGAACGAGTGCAGGACGGAAAGTTGAGAGGACTCCTGCCCACAGCAAGGCATCCCCAACTCTGGATGCTTCGTTGCATTCAATGCACCGCAAGAAAGCATGTTTGAGTAGGAAGTTGATCCACAGGGGAATGTGTGGTGGTGGCAAGGTGAAGTTCGTTGTGCTGTACACATCGTGCTTCGTTGATTGAACACAATCGGTGTCAACCTCCATTTTCAGTATACAACAACTGAATGAGATTTCACGGGTTACAAACAAAGACGCCAACCTCCCGACAAATAAAGTTGCCCATCTACCCATCTTTTCATCGTGGCAAACAACATTTTTGACATCGAAATTCATGGACGGGTCGCACCGAGCACGAGCTCTCCACCAGCCTGTCCACATTGGGACGAAAAGGACCTTCAAGTCTAAACCATTGGAAAATGCACAGCATTCGGTTTGCGTTCCATTTTGTCCCAGGTTTTCATTTTTCAGGACCGACAGTGTAGGCGAAGCAAGGACAACACGGACCGCTCATGGAGCGTGCCGTGTTGGCCAATCTTGGATGAAAAAGGCGATGACGACGAAGTTAGATCCGCATTCCAAAGTGGCGAACTCCATTGTCGGCCGGAATCTACTTGCTTTAGACCGGCACCATCCCCATAGCACGTTCACGAGCACACTGTGGTCGACTCTGCGATTCCAGTGGAAGTTTACAAAGCACGTGTACCTTTCATACTTGTAGAATGTTAATAGTAGTTCGTAGTACATTCTAGAATGTGCAGTTTTGAAACAAACGTCTCCAATCGTAGTGGCATGCCAATTGGCTGAAAATTCCACCAGCACAACTTCTTGCACCAATCAGAAAATGTTTCCAATTACTTAGCCAATCATAATTGATAAAATTGAAGTTGCGAATCGTATCAAACCAACAATTCGAAATTCAATTAGGCCATTCGGAGAGATTATCCGGATAGTGTGGAGTTGTCAATGATGATGCGGCTGTGCCATTCCAGGATGGCGTCGTCGCTGGCGCCGCGTCAGAGCGGCTCAAATCACTGTCAATGGTTCGAGAAGATCAAGGTTTCGATTGAGGAAAGCCATGGCATTCGTGGAGGCAACTACGTGCAGCTTGCCACGGTGGACTCGGATGGACTCCCACACTGCCGTACTGTCGTGTTTCGAGGGTTCTTCGACATGCCGTCAGGAGATCTCGCCATGAAAATGATCACAGATTCCCGTAGTGACAAAGTTCACCAAATCCAACACAGTCCTTTCTGCGAAATGGTTTGGTGGTTCTCCCAAACGTCCGAGCAATACCGAATTGCAGGACACTTGGAGGTCGTACCAAGCGACGCAGATGGCGCGCTGTTGTTGGCAAGAACCGAACAGTGGAATGCATTGAGTGATGCAGCCAAGGCACAGTTCTACTGGCCACACCCAGGTGTGTACGATCCACACGTCGCTTCCCGGGACACCAATGCAGTCGAAGATGGAGGTCCTCCTACGTCATTTTTGCTTGTGCTGCTGCATCCAACCATGGTCAAGTACCTTCGCCTCACGGACAACGCTACCCTCAATGAAGTGTACCTACCAAGCACACGGACTTGGGAGCGTCTTTCGTACATGTAGTCACGGTTCTTCGAGGAAACCCCGTCAGGGCGGCAAGTTGAAAGTGGAGCCATCCAACACATCTAGATTTTTCAGGAGGTGGCCAGTAAATTAAGGGGACACTTGACAAATTACGCCAAGCGTCGCTTCTTGCGCGCCATAATCATCTCCAATGCCAACGCCTCCCGTCCCTTCATACGGCGGTCCTTCTCCTCTTCCGACACATCCTCTTCTTCTTCATCCTCGTCGTCGTCGCTATCAGCCGTCGCGCCATCGCTTTCGTCCGACCCATCTTGGTCGCTACCCAGGTCCAAGACAGCACCAGGACCGTCTTGGCCGTCCTCGTCGCGTTCGCCCTTCTTCTGTTGACGTTTCTTGGTGTGCTTCGCACGCACGCGCTCCTTCTCGAGCTGTCTATCTTCTTCGTCCTTTTCAAGCAATCGCTTGGCGACTGTTTCTTGAAATTGCTTGGCATGCTCGTCGACGTTGGCAAACTCGTCCACGTTTGCCGAAGCCATTTGGTCAAACGGTTTGAGTGCGTTCCCGTCTTTGCCAAACACGACTTTGGAAGCGTTCGACGCGTGGATGCGGATCTTCGATTTGGGTTTCTTCTTTTCCTGCGCCGATTCCAGGTCTCCGACATGCTCGTCTTTGTCCCAGTTGTGCACTTGCTTGACCACGAGCAGGTCGTCCCCATCGTCCGAGTCATCGACCTTGTCGTCATCTTCGCCATCGCTGTCATCCTCATCACTGTCCGCACTGTCGTCGCCCGATTCATCGTCGTCGGAAGACTCTTTGCTCTCTGGCGCCTTGGACGGTTGCGACGTGCCGAGTTTCTTGAGCAGCTTCTCCGCCTTGATTTTTTCTTTCAGAGACTGGAGCTTGCGGTTTACGTTCTTCTTTTCGCGATTCACTTCTCGGGTCTGCGCCGCGACATCCTTGAGAAACGGCATGCGGGGTGCATGGGGGAGACCGTAGGATGACGCGAGCTGGTCCGTGTTCAGCGCCGTCGCATCGAAAATGTCCTTGGCCGGCTGGAGGTAGATCGATCGGACGTACGACATGAACGCCTTTTGGGCCAGCGCCTTGAGGTCCTTGTCGGCCGCTACAATGGACGCGACTTTGCCATGAGTGCTCTGGGTCTTGGCCGGGTTCACTTCAATCTTGGAGATCGGAATCTTGGCTTCCTCGAGGCCACACAGTAGCCCCTTGACTTCCGACTCGAGCAACAGCATCAGCGCCCGCCCGTTTTTGTTGTACCTAAGCAATTCATAAGGAATACTCGCACACACAGCATGAAACATGTGGAGGGGATGTACCGAGCAGTACGACCTACGCGGTGGATGTAGTTGGCTGTGTCTTCGGGTGCGTCGAGCTGCACAACCCAGTCGACGTTGGGAAAGTCGAGCCCGCGGGCTGCCACATCAGTGGCAAACATGACGCCTGCGGGCTTGTTGACGAAGTTGTAGTACACATCCACGCGCTTGCCTTGCTTGTATTTACCATGGAGCGCCGAGAGAGGAATCCCCGGCTGCATTTTGCAAAACACGTCGTGGATAAAGCGCACCTGATGGAAAGGAGGCGTTAGTGAGTGTCATATAGAGACTAGAGGTTGTGTACCTGACGGCACGTCGACACAAACACGATTGTTTTCTGCTTCAAATGCGCCTTGATGAACGAAAAGAGCACATCCAGCTTTTGCCCGACATCACAGACCAAATAGTTCTGCACGAGGCCACTCGGGGTCGCCGTCGTCGACTTTTCGTGGACTGCGATGTACTCGGGCTCGTTCAAACTGAGTCGTGCCAAATCTTTGATCGATTTGGTTTGCGTCGCCGAGAACAGCATTGTCTGTCGCTCAGAAGGAAGGTACCCAACGATGGCCGTGAGCTGGTTCGAAAACCCCATGTCCAAGATTCGATCCGCTTCATCCAAGATCAAGATCTACACGAGGCTCAAGGATTCTGGCATTGAAAGGTAGGAGTACCTGCAGGTTAGACAGCTCGAAGTTGGCCGTTTGTTCCATGTGCTGTAGCAATCGACCCGGAGTCGCCACGAGAATGTTCATCTTCACGATGCGGTATTGCTCTTCCTGAAAGTTTTTTCCACCGATGACGAGCCCGGCCGAAAACGAATGTGACTTTCCAATCGAGCGAAGCACCTCGAAGATCTGCATGGCAAGTTCTCGCGTTGGGGAGATGACGAGAGCGCCAACGCCGTCTTCTACATCCCAACGTTGCCTGTACAGCTTCTCGAGCATGGGAATCAAGAACGCCAACGTCTTCCCAGACCCCGTCTTGGCGGCAGCAAGAATATCACGACTACATGAAGATTGAGTACAATGAGTGTTTCGAAGCAAGACGCGTACCCTGCCAAGGCGTGCGGAATGGTACCAATTTGAATCTTGGTCGGTTTGGTGAACTTGCCACGTTTCAAGCCGTTCTTCGTCGCGATGGACAGAGGAAGCATGTCAAAGGACTCGATATCATCGATCTGTGACCCTCTTTCCGGCGTCTCAAGTCCAATTCGCTCCGTCAACTGCGCCACCTCCTTTGCTTCACGCTCATGGAGTTTCTCCTTGGTCATCGGCGCCATCTTTCCTTTCACGATTGAAGTCCCAGACATGGACGAATCGATTGGCCCCACCACTTATTGCTCTCATCTGCATTGAGCCAATCCGAGCGCGACAATCTGAATTTTATATCCAATCACCATGGATTCAACATAATGTATATAATATAGTATACAATACGCACCAATTGAACTGTTCCTACATTCTCAAGTGAACAGGATGCTGGCCACCGCTGTGCTCCGGTCCGCTCGCACACGGCTCCCAAACAACCGTCGGGCATTCTCCATCCTTGGGGGCATGTCTGACGACTTGCTCATCAGGTAGTCAATTGAATCTGAAGTCCATGTCGTAATCGTGTTCTTGGTAGTATGAACATGGGACATTCAATCGGGGGTACCTCACAAGCGTCTTTGGTCGACAGCCTCATCAATGCAGGCGTGTTGGTCACCCCCCGTGTTCAAAACGCCTTCCGCAGCTTAGATCGAGGCCAATTTGTGTTTCCTGGCTACAGTCCCAGTGACATTTACGCCAATCGTCCGTTGAAGATCGGCACAATCGCGACCATATCGACCCCACAACAGCACGCTCAGGTAAATCTTTGTTCGTTTCTCGTACTCTGAACAGTATCCTACAGGTCATGGAGCTCTTGGCTCCGCACCTTCAGCCAGGCAATCAGGCCATTGACGTTGGCTGTGGCTCTGGATACTTAGCCGCTGCCATGGCACACCTAGTTGGTCCATCTGGTCATGTCGTTGGGGTTGACATTGTGCCATCACTGGTGGACTTCTCCACGATGAACGTGGCCAAGGCGAAGGTTCCCTGTAATTTTTCGTGGATTGCAAGCAATGGCAAAGATATTCTGCCTCCGAATGCCTACTTCGACTGCATTCATGTCGGTGTAGCTGTGGAAACCATGGATGAAATTGATGCACTAGCCGCTTCGTTGCATCCTGGCGGCGCCCTAGTGGTGCCTCTGGGGTACGCATCGTCTGAACAACTACTGCTCAAGGTAATAAGAATTGTTGAATGGTCCATCGCTCGCGACACGGCTCAATACCTCTTTAAAAAGGTGATCAAGCAAGAGGACGGCACTCTGGCGAAAGAACGAGTGATGAGTGTGTTGTGTCAACCCTTGCTGAGCGAAGCACCTGCGCCGCTTCCAGTGCCAGAAACCAGGGCGGAGAAATTGGCGCGTCTCCAGGCTGCTTTAGAGATATGGAAAGTTTCATTCATCGAGGAGAATGGCCGAACGCCGACTCGGGACGACATCCAGCAAGACCCGACGGCAAGCAAATTGTTTGCAGAGTTCGCCGCCACGAGAAAATAATTCAAACGTGAGACGAACAGCATGAGTTTGATGGATTATATGGGGGCGTTTATGACGTCTTGGCAACGACCAGTTCTTCAATCTACAAGTGTAAACAATGTTAGAATGCACTAGAGGAGGATCGGCGAGACTGGAATCGTACCTTTTCCCACTTGGAGCCGACGTATTCGCCAATCACTTCACCCTTGCAATAAATCTTGACGGAGGGCAGGGCGGACACACCCAAGTCGACGCTCAAGTCCTCGAGGGCGGTGGTATCGACTTTCACGTACGACACATTTTCCGGGGCTTCTTTAGCCAGCTTGTTGAGCTTGGGTGTGATCAGCTTGCACTGACCACACCACGGAGCAGAGAAGAGCACGACGGTAATCTTGTCGGCGCCGGTGAGCTCGGCGTAGTGTTCTTCGCTTTCAACAGGGACGATGGCAGACATGGTGGTCGAAGCGCAGTCAATTGATTTGTGGCATCCCACGAGCAAATACACCCAACATCAATAACGATTTTGGTTGGTCAAAATTCTGGCATGTCTCATCCACGACATTCCTATGTCTGGGACCTGATTGGTTGTAAACATGGTTGTCCCATGCATTAGATGCATTAATCCGCCAATGAGGCGTCAGTGGGAATCCTCCGAATTCCGCATGTCTCGACACCATCGCTGTGGCGAACGCGACAGACGTCGAAGGAGATGCTCATTAGACGACATCCATCGCCCCATACGTGGCAGAACGGCGCTTCTCTGTGGTTGAACGAGTACGCGACGTCTTCGGTCGTCCTCCACTGCTTCGCTTGTTCTCGACATTCTGCTTCATGCGTTGAAGGCTGGGAGACGTGTACATCGGAGACTTGGAAACGTGCTCCTTCCCACGCTCTTCGCGCTCTGAATGGTACAGAATCAATCCCATCTAGTCCCGACTTAGAACGCTGTCGACGAATGCATGGGTTGAACGCACCACAATGATGAAGAGTGCAAATCCATCGAAGATGGTAAACTTCTGCTTCGCAAGGGGGCCGGCGAGGAACGGGATCATGTACAAAATGTCCGTGAGCGGCAAACACACTGCCGACGAGATCACAAACAGTACAGAGCTGCCTTCCTTGAACACGTACATCATCAGCTGCACCATGTCGACAAAGGGATGTCAGGACATTCGACATAAATCAACGGGATCCTTACCATGTTGTACACCACGTTGAACAAAATGTACTGCAAGTATATGACAAAGATGTCGCCGTCACATGGCGACGACACGCCGTTGAACGTGACATGGTGGCCGAAGAAGCACTCGTGAGCTGCTGTCAAGTACGTGGGAAAGTCCGAGTAGGTCACAGGAGGGTCCGAGAATGCTTGCATCTATTCATTCGGATGAGAAATGTCTTGCTGCTTAGCCAGTTGTACCTGGATCGTCCAAAACGTCAGCATCCCCCAGAGAAGCTGGTACGTGCTAACCCAAGCGTTGGCGTACCAAATGTCCAAGTCCACGTCTTTGAGGCCGATCTCCTTGTACACTGGGCCACGTCGCATGAGGGTGGCAGTGCAAAAAAAATTGAGAAAACTGGAGAGTACCATTTGAGGTGGCAGCGGGAAGCATGGCCAACACGTATAGCAAGAGCCAACCAAAGGAGGGATCGGGACTGTTGAGCGCCACTTCGCCTCGAAAGATGGGAATCATGCACACAAAGGCGCCGTAGAGCACCAAGATCGCCCCCATCAAGTGCGCGCGGTGGTATTGCGTTCCCAGCACAAACACAGACAGAATCATGTTGAATGGTAGCGTGACTTGGCTGAGCACGTTGGCTAAATTACCGCTATTCAAGGTTGCCCATGAGCATGGCGCAAAGCAATCGAGGGATTTACCCGATATGGGGGGTGGGCAGGGCGGACAAGAAGCTATTGGCCATGTCGAGGAACGCCATGATTGCAAACTTGTAATGCGGGAAAGCCTTCATCTCCGGAGAGATGTCCTCTATCGCATCACCATCAGCCACGGAATGAAGCCGAGGTCGTGCAAGCCTCACTCGTAAAGAACAGTTTGTACCACACCACGGGCCAAGTGATGACGAGAAACGCAATGGGGTTGATGATGTTGGAATAGTACCACAGGAATTGTTGGTAGTCGTACGTGATCCGCCTGTCATCGGGTCGTCAATAGCCACGCTCAAACCATGGCTTACGTGTTCAAGACGCGGTCAACACATCGTGCCAGCACTAGGATGGTCACGCCAGCTATGAGCTTGGACTCGAGAAAGAGTTGCTTGATGTTCATGGCGTCGACGAATTCGTTGTGTGGTCATCAACATCCCCGCGAAATATCGAAGCGTCGCGTCCCAGATCTTGCGTTTGAAACGTAATTGAAACGAGGATGTGTCCTCAACAGCATGTTTGAAACACGTTTAAAACCCGATTTCAAGGCAAAATACGATCACAATGCACTTGCATCCCTTCATGCCGCGTCGTTCAACTATGTCGTCGCTATCTACACGGCATCTTCAGTGGCCACTGCGCCATACCCAGCGGACGCAATGCGGGGGGTAAGCTTCTTGCGGCGAGACTGGACGTTCGCCTTTAGTCGTCGCACACTGGGCGATGCGTACAGCGGTGACTTGAGGACACGGTCCTTTCCCACGCCTTGCTCTTCCTTTTCCGAGTGATACACAACCATCCCAACCTACCGTCGCTACGGTCAGACGGAGTTCAAAACGAGTCCAACGTACGATGATGACGAAGAGGGCAAATCCATCGAAAATGGTAAACTTTTGGGCTGCCAACGGACCAGCCAACACAGGCACCATGTACAGGATATCGGTGAGGGGCAGGCACACCGCCGACGAGATCACAAATAGCACCGAGCTGCCTTCTCGGAACACGTACATCATCAGCTACACATCGCGCCGTCCATGAAATCATCGCATAGAAGCGTTTGGTCGTGGTACCAAGTTGAAAACGATGTTGAACACAATGTACTGAATGTATGTGGTGAAAATGTCGCCGCCGCAAGTCGACGTGACACCGTTGAACGTGGTGGGGTTGCCGAAGAAGCAGTTGTGCGCCGACGCCACGTACGAAGGAAAGTCGCTCCACGCGACCGGCGGATCCGAAAACGCAGGCAACTAGACGCACATGAGTAGGGTTTCGAGACTGAAACTCGTACGCGAATGGTCCAGGCAGTCAAGAGGCCCCAAAACACTTGGTAGAAGCTGATCCACGCGTTGGCATACCACACGTCCAAATCCACGTCTTTCATCCCGATTTCCTTGTACACTACCGAGGACCATGAGCCGTGGCAGCGGGCTCGGGAACAACGCACCATTAGCCCCGGCAGATGGGATGCACGACACAATGTAGAGTAGGATCCACAGAGCCGACGGGTCGGGGCTGTTGAGGGCGACTTCACCGCGAAAGATTGGAATCATACACACAAAGGCTCCATACAGAACCAAGATGGCGCCAACAACGTGTGCACGCTTGTACTGCGTTTGCAACAAACAGCGCGACAGAATCATCGTAATGGGAAGACTGACTTGGCCCAACACGTTGCTCAAGTTGCCACTAAGCATACAACGTGTTAAACTCGATCACGAATCGCCTTTGTACCCAATGTGCGGAATAGGGACAGTACTGAGCAAACATGCGGCCATGTCCAAGAACGACATGATTATAAACTTGTAGTGCGGGACAGCCCTCATTGCGGGCGAGATATCATCTGTGAAAAGGCACGAGGAAGGGTAACCATGGTGACTAGATCGCCACGAACGTACTTGTGTAGTAGAGCTTGTACCACACGACGGGCCAGCAAAAGAATAGAAATGCCACGGGATTGATAATGTTGGAAAAATACCACAAGTATTGCGAGTAGTTGTACGTGATGCGCCTAGGAACAGGAAGGACTGGAGTGGGCAATGACATGGCAGGGGATGCCTAACGTACGTGTTGTAGACACGGTCAACACATCGAGTGAGCACAAGGAAGACGAGCGCAATGATGAGCTTCGAATCATGGAGCCACTTCTTCACGGCTGCTCCTGGCATAGTGTCGACCTCGTCGACCTCGCGGGTTGCTGGAAGGTTGCACAATGGTTGGGGTGTCGTCGTGGCGTTTCCACTACTTGAAGTTGAACATGATTGGTTATAAATGAAACATATTACACCAATCATTTCTTGACTTTCAACTGTGTCGAACCGTCATGGATCTTGAGACGTGATGCGGGCAGACGCAACCGGAGCCGTCTATCGCGGAGCCGATGGGGCGACACCACAGCCCCCCTGCATTGATAGCACTACGATGGGGAAGCCAGTAGATCTCGCGATGTGATGCATGCAGTGGGCGGATGCACCGAGAATTTTCAGCATTCGGATGTCCGCTGGACCTACGACAAGGTTGGAAGCGACGGCATTTGCTCGCCACCAACAATCGCGGTTCGGGACTGGACTGTAAACTGCAACTTTTCATCGCCTTGCCCCATTCAGAAACTCCCACGGGTGCTCTTGCTGAACTACAAGCGGTCCGCACGCCTACCACCCGTCGCCCAAACCCCAGGTCTACCCAACTTAAGCAGGCAAAGCGGCTGGACTTGACCTACACACTGGCTTTGACCGTCGCATAGCAATGCATTTCATCAACGAGATTTGTGATGCATACTCAAGCGATGGATCATTCTATCGTCCGCAAGCAAGCAGGCAACAGTGCATCTACTTCGTTTCATCGAAGCTGAATTCAGGTGCATCTCTTCGACCGAATTGGTCCATCACAGAGAGGGAGATGGAGTCAGATCGCCTCTTGCGCCTTGGCCAACTCCCGCGCTGAATTCGTGTCGGCACCTCAGTACCAATCCAAGCTTGGATGCATAAACTTCTCTCGTTGTCGATGTTATCCGAGATAAAGTTACCGTCGACGTGGTGTGTCCTGGAGTCGGCCAACAAGACTTTAGACCACGTTGCCAGAGTCTTTCACAGTGCCGTACTTGACAGTGGGCGCACGCAGCGCCAAGGCAGAGCCACCTACCCGTCCCGACTTGCGTCGGCCGCGCATCAACTGCGCTTGGCGCAAGCTTGGCGAAGAAAACATGGGGGATTTCTGCGTCGACGTCGCAGCCTCCACGCGCTCCTCCTTCTCTGAATGGTATACGAGCATCCCCATGATGAGGACAAACAGCGCAAACCCATCGTAGATAGTGAACGTCTGCGACGCCTTGGGGCCTGCAATAAACGGCACCATGTACAAGATATCGGTCAATGGAAGGCAAACGGCAGAGGACACGACAAAAAGCACGCTGCTGCCTTCCTTGAACACGTACAGCATGATCTACGGCAAGAAGTGGTTCGTGCAATCTCGCGATGCCGTCAGGAGTGCCAACTTACTTGGTTGTACACGCAGTTGAACAAGATGTACCACATGAACGTGACAAACACGCCATTGTTACAGGGCAGCTCCTTGCCGTTGAAGGTCGCGGGGTTGCCGATGAAGCAGTTGTGTGCTTGAGAGATGTAGTTGGGGAAGTCTTGCCATGAGACCGGAGGGTCCGAGAAAGCAGGCAGCTACAGCAGCATGTCAGACTAACCTTTCGCCAAAACCATATCATGCCTGAATCGTCCAGATCGTGAGCGCGCCCCACAGGATTTGGTATGTGCTGATCCATGCGTTGGCGTACCAAATATCGAGATCGACGTCCTTGAGCCCGACCTCCTTGTACACTGCGCATCAATCAGCGACCGGTGAGATGACGGAAAGGCGACAGATTCAGGAAAGCGACGAACCGTTTGAGCCGGCGGCGGGAAGCAACCCGATAATGTAAAAGAGGATCCAAAACATGGATGGATCCGGCATATTCGCCGCTACTTCGTTGCGGAACACGGGAATCATCGTGACCAGTGCGCCGTACAGGACGAGGACTGCGCCCATGTAGTGTGATCGCTTGTATCGCGTCGAGAGCAGGATCGCAGACAAGATCATGTTAAACGGAAGGTTGAGTTGGTTCAAGGCGTTGGACATGTTGCCACTGAATGTACAATGTTGAGGGATGCCTGTGACGACAGAGAGCGTACCCAATGTGCGGCGTGGGGAATGCCGTGAGAAGGTTGTACAGAGTGTCGAAGAGACCCATGATGGCAAACTTGTAATGCGGGAACGAGGTCATCTCAGTCGTGATTTCCTCTGAAACAGACCGTCAGATGTCACGCCGGTAGCGCATGTCGGTTGACGTACGAGTGAACCACATCTTGTACCAAACCACGGGCCATGACGTGACAAGGTACGCAATGGGGCAAATGATGTTGGAGAAGTACCAGAGGAACTCGTTGTAGTCGTAGGTGATGCGCCTATGCCGCGGGGTTGTCTGGGATGCGTCAGGTAGTCACGACACGTACGTATAGTAGACTCGGTCGACACTGCGAGAAATAATGAGGAGCAGCAACCCCACGGCGAGCTTGGAATCGGCCCAGCGCATCTTCCACATCGACCTCGGCTTTGGTGGTGTCGGCGTGGGGCGAAATTGATGTGTGTGGCACACCTGCAACGTTAGTCGCAACTTGAACCACGTTGAACTCTTGATGACAGAAGGTGGTACTGCTGTCCCAATTTCAGCTTCACACAGTCGACCATATCCGAGCAAAAAGTACCCGAAAAGTTCGAAACCAAGGCGAATATCTCACATGTTGGCACTCGATCTTGTCAAAAACCATCCATGGCACGGGGCGTTTGAAAAGTGCGTTCGGGGATGTATGGTCATCATGCAGGACCAAGATTCAATGTGGAAAATCGTACAACAAACAAAGCGCGGGCGCGTACACGACCAGCGTTGGCCGTCACGGAGGAGACGCCTCAGCTGAGGCCGCAACGTGCCGACGAGTACTGTAAAATGTACTTTCGAGCGGACGATTTGGAACACTTGGGCTCAGTTTTCCCCTCTCGCCACTTTCGGCTACGTTCTGAAGCCTTGAACCAGTTGGGGGCTGCACTTTCAACTGGTCTCGGCACTCAAATACACAAACTCGATGTCCTCACTTCACTAGCAAACAGCGCGCGCCCCCCCTTCTTCCAAGTGCGCCATCTTGACAACGATGTAACCCTCTTCAAGGATGCTCGAAGCCGCTACTTCACATGGGCAATTCTCGGTCACCGCTACAGTGGGCAAAGATTCGCCCAGGCATTCGACTCGGACTCAACGATGGCCTCACGGGACCATGTTTGACAAGCAAGCACTTCCGCCGCGATAACCCGTCCTACCGAGACCGTACAAATAACACGATAGGACTAGCTAGCGTATATTGAACATGGGATGCCTGGCTTATGCGGTTTCAGTCGCGGTGGATTCGGCAACAGAAGCGGTCTTCTTGGCAGCAGCCTCCTTGTACGCGAGCTTGCGAGCTTTGGACTTGCTGATGGGAACAGTTGCCGGGTCGAATTCGCGCAAAATGATGGTCAAATGACTGTGCCCTCGATGCTTGATACCAGTGTTCCCTATTCACAACATGATCAGTAGGATCGACAAAAGGCGTGACAATTTGCAGATGCGCACCTCGCCCCATGAACTTAACTCGCTTCAAGAACATGCCCTTGGTAACGAAGGCTTGTTCGATCTTCAACGCGCTGGGTTCAATGCCGTAGTAAATGTCGGCCAAGTTGACAGCGTTTTGGATTGTCTTCTTTACAATCGTCGACTTGCGCTTGGGCGAGAATTGCATCTGGACCAATGCTTCAGGGGCCGTGAGGCCACGGATCTGTTGAGCCAGCATGGACAGCTTGCGAGGACTCACACGAATTTCCTTCTTCACAGTCTTGACCGATCGAAACTCTACGGCGTCTTCGATTGAAGGCAACGCAATCTCCTCAGCTGCTTCCGTCGACATGAAACGCGACGACGAAAACATGGTTTGTACTCCAGCAGGAAGGATAGCTGACGCCTTGGGGGCGATTGACAAGCCCGCCATCGTACGGGCCAAGGAGAAGCGGCTCAACATCGCGACGGATCGACGCGGAGGGGCAAAACCAAAGTTGACCAAATCAAATGGTGGAGAATGCGTGGCTGTCCGGATAATTATCTGGATACTGATATGGATAAAAATGCTTTGTTATTTGTATGCATTTGTATTCGTTTGAAATATGCACTGTCAACCCAATTATTCCACTATTAGTGCGGAAATCAGCGAAATACACCCATTTTAGGTCATGCGGGTGCGTATTTCTGAATTCAGCCAATCCAATGCAACGGATTCGTCATATGAAATTTGATTCGATAAAAAGATTCACAATTTTGGCCACTCGCACGGGACAAAACCATTGGTCCGGTCGGGACGGTTTTGGATGTTGAAGCGAAGGGAATCCATTCATTTGGAGTTCTCAATTTGCCGCCGCCAAGATGAGTACGTCGTTGGCGTCCCAGTTGAATGCTCTTAAGGTGCATGCGACATCTGCTCCTTCGCAGAGGAAGCTTGCATCCTTCCTGCATGAGCCAAAGGTGGCGTCGAAGATCGACATCCGCACCACCTACGAGCATGCGAAACAGGCGCTCGATCACTTGTGCGGTATGGACGGGTCCTTGGATGTCTTCCACACAACGTTGCTTCATCCAAGCAAAGTCCAGGCACAGTTTAACCGTGCCCTTCTTACAAAAGACGAAAACGTTGCCGTCGATGCCGACCTTGGACTCCTCCTCGACGCCCTCTCACCATACTTTCTCTTGCCACCTACCCATCAAGTACTCGAGTACCTCATCCGGCGGTACGAAATCCACACGTGGAACGTTGAGCAAATTCTGGCTGCCACGATCTGCTACCACGAAAGTCCCCTGTTTGCGCGCCTTGTAACAATTTGCGACCTGAACAAGTACCCTCGCTGGGCATTCCTTGAGGGTGTCAAAACCAACAACGTTCCATTGTTGCGCGCAAACCTTGCCAAACGTTGCTTCACAGATCCGTCTGTCGTGCGCTTCATTTATGAAGCCAGCCGTCGTATCGGGGCCAAGAACCCCAAGATTATGGCTTTATATACATTGCTAGCCATGGAAGTGCTCGACAAGTCCAAGATCACCGACCAGATACTGCGCTGGGTTCTTCCGAACGTGTTGGACGGCCTCCGAGACCGGTCCTTTCCCGAACACCAGCTTTCATCGTACATGATTGTGACGAAGCTGTCGTCGAAAGCCATTCTCGCCCACGCTGCGCGGACCCAAGTCGTCGCGGCCATCGCCAAGACCGCCCCCGCACATGCTCAACTCGATGCACTACTGTGCTTAGTCAGCGTTGTGCAAGCCCAGCCGTTTGAGTCTCTCCCGAACGACGTGATCAAGCACGTACTGAACTATACTGACTTACCCCAGCTCCTACACGATGCCACCGACTCATACGACACGCGAAAGTTCCTTACATTGTTCTTTGCGGGGCTCATTGCCCACCTTGTGGACAGCTCCAAGTCGTCGAACCAACCGACGGCCAGTGCCGAATCGACTTTGTTTGCCATCCTGACCGAGCTCGGCCCTGACGCCGCCGCGCCGTTCGTCGCTCCAATCGTTGCTCATGTTCTGAAGAGCGCCAAGACCGCTACTGCCATGAAGGACAAGACCATGTCGGCTGGCTTGTGTGCGTCATTGCAGCGTGTGCTGGTGCACTTGAGCAAGCGGTTCGCGGAGCAATTGGATGCGGGTTTGCACAGTTTGGTCGACAGCCAAGAGGAAGCCGCAAGGGCATTTTATATCGAATTTGTTGGTAGAACGTTCGACGGAACGACTGCCGCTGTCCACGTGCCGCTGGCCCAGAGTGGATTGTCGCTTTTGCTGTCACTGGACCACCCGAATGCGGACATCCGACTGCACGCCATCACAGCTGTTAAAGCAATGAACGACTCGTTCGACGAAGCTGACGCGCTACTTCGCCGCCTTAACGACGATTCCCCCATGGTCATCGTGAAGGCGCTGCAGCTGAACGTGCTGCTTGAAAAGGTGTCCCCGTTGGCGTTGGTTGAAGCCGTCGCCCACGCCGTGACGCAGCGCTTCCGTGATCCGCGATTCCAAGACGCTGTGTCGGCTCTCGTTTCGTTTGCGACTGGTCCGCTGTTAACCAAATACGCTGACCACCCCAGCGTGATCCCCACACTACTCGACATGTTACTGCAGTTCGCCCCGACGGTAGACTGGCTCGAGCCCTCGGACGACACCAAACCATCGTTGATTACGTTTGAGGCGTGGGTGCAGCACTTGAAAAAACTTCCCCATCCGTTTGGACAAGCGCTGAATGCCCCGAAAGACGTCGCCGCCGTCGTTGAAGCATGGGGAAAGGCCTTGACGGAAGACTTGATCGAGACCGTTGCGGCATGGACATCTCCCGCGCCATTTCGGCACGTTCGCTTGCCGTATTTGGCGCTGCAAGTGCTGTATCTCGGCCAAGAAAAGCACTGTCACAGCCGATTCCTGTCACTTGCCCGCGCAGAGTGGACGTTGCTCAACGCATCGATGGTGAAAGTGGACCTTGCCACCAATCGCCAGGCCATCGTGCACACGATTGACATGATCTGCAGCATCATGACGACCAGCTCCACCGACGCTGACGCCACAATCGTGTACGATGACGCGCTGCATCTTTTACTGCACTCGTCATCTCGATTCTTTACCCTCGTGCAGCCTTGCTTCAACGACAAACTTGCCAAACACAACTGGACTTCTCTGCTGCACAGTCTGTGCCGTGTCGCAACTCGCCTCGACACGCAGCCGACGGCCGCTGTTCGCAGCCTCACCCTCGTCTCTGTCATGCTTGAGTGCCACAGCTCGAACGCAATCAAGCTGAACGACTTGCACCACGTGCTTACCACACTGCTCGTGTCGGTGTGTGTTTGTGATAAGGCCGTTCGCAAAGCTGCGATGCAAACCCTCAAGCCGCTCGCTAAGGCGTCTGTGGAGAAGCACGATAAGGGGGCCCTTGCAACGTATCACAATGCCATTGCACGGCTCGTCCAAGCCAAGGCGGAACTCTGCATGGATGGCCAGCATATCTCGACTCTGCTGGCGACGCTCTTGGACGACCAAAAAATCGACGCTGCTTGGGCCAAGCACGTGCTTGCGACAGTTCTCGTCAAGGACGCCCGACCAACCGTCCGAACAATGAAAGTGCTTGCGGTGTTCTCTGACGTCCATCTGCCTAGTCTGTGGGAGTCCACGGTCGGATGGTTCACGCAACGACTGCCATTGTTTGCCGCTGAGCCGACCGAGACCGAAACAACGGTGATGACCCACCTCATGACGCACTTCCTCTCGAGCTGGGCCACGATCAAGGTCCCAAAGCTCGTCGTCGACGCCGTTGTGCAAACGCTCTCCACCGCGTCTGGAGCGTCGGTGCTTCAGCGACACGTGGCTACGATCATGCCAGCATCGTGGTTTGCAAGTGTTGGCGCGGCGACACAATCCACGATTGTCTCGAGGTTGGTGGCACTGATGCAATCGGGCGAAGACTTGAGTGAAATATCGAGCCAACTCGTGCCACGCCTCCAAGTGTCGTCGGATATCGTGACCAAGCTGTTGCATCACAACAAGTCGGCGCAATGGGTCGCAGACGTCACGTGTGTCCTCGAAGTCCTCCCAGCTTGGTTGCCGCAATACTCGGCTGCAGAGTTGGAATCCCTGCTCACGCCACTGCAGCTCGTTGTCGCGCACTTCAGCCAAGACAAAGTGTCCGAGTACAGCATCCAAATGGTGCTGACGGTAATGCACCAAGTGTGCCGGCTGTTGCCGCCTGCCTCTTCGTCGAAGAAGAACGCGGCGGCGACGACCCTGTCCCATGCCAAAGTTCTCGTCGAGCTCACGATGGAAGTTATCGAGGTGACGACATCCCCTCAGACCCGGAATGCAGCCCTCTTGCTCGTGTCGGCACTGGTCGATCTCTATCCTGCCCAAGTTCTGACATCGCTTGTGCCTATTCTGAGCCACGCGTCCCACCTGCACATGGACGAGTACTCGTTCCACGTCCTTCGTGAAATCGTCCAGCATGCAGTGCCGTACGTTGCCAAACCGTCGAGCCCCATCTCGATCCAGCAATTTCTCCAGACCTTTGTCGATGCCTTCGCGTCGATTCCAGCTGCCCGTCGTCTGGACCTCTTTCACGTTGTCCTGTCGAGTCTCGAGCTTCAAAAGGCCAACGCTTTGGGCATGACGATTGCGCTCTTGCTCTTGACAACGCCCGACGAAGACGACGACTCGATCCCCACTCATCCTCACGCCGAGTTTTCCCACTCCCTGGCGCAACTATTCCCACCTGAAGCGCAGATGCAATCCCTCGTCTTCTTGGTCAACTCAACAAACCACACCCAAGATGGAGACGACGAAGTGAATGCAGACTCGGCCCTGAAAGTTACGGGCTTGTCGGAGACGGCTGTGGAATCCGCCTCCGTTGCTTGGCTCTCGTTCGTCCCGCAGCACCTCGAGCGCAAGCGTCTCCACTCTCAAATCCTGGACAAGCGCCACGGCGAGAGCGCGACGCTACAAGAGGCTTACCTCCTCCTCGCCCAGGCGCTTCTACTCTACCTCCGCAGGGGTAGCGACGACGCCCTCAGCGCGTACGCTTTGGACGGGATGCATAATCTGCAGCGCCTGCTGACAGCCCCTGGCTTCGTGGCTGTGATCGGCGAGCTGTTGCACCACGAAGATGGTGTAATTCGTCGACGCGCGCTACAACTTTTGAACGAACGCATCGAGGCGCATCAAGACTCTTTAACGACTGAAGAAGAGCTCTTGTTTGTCGACATGTTGGCCGACCTCACGGAAGTTCTGAGCGAAGTCGAGTCTGCTCTGGTATCGGACTTGCAAATGGCACTGCTGTCGGTCGACGTCCTTACGCGCTTCTTTGCCAAGAAGCATCCCAAGCCGTTCAAAACGATCCTGCCTACAGTCGTCGCGTGCACCAAACATGCCAACGGCCATGTCGCCGGGAGTGCTTTTGTGTGTTTGTCCAACTTGGGCCTTGCGCTCGGCCCGGTCGTGTACCCACATATCCCGACGTTTTTCCCCACGCTCTTGACTGCGTTGGAGGCGGTGGCCAACGCGACGAACAGTGACAAAGTGGACGAAACCAACACGCTCCAGTCGTGCGGGATGGTTGCGCTGCGCAACATGACTGCCAAGTTTCCCCAATTTCTTGCAGCATACCTTCCCCGCATCCTGTCGCTGCTGTTCCAGCCGTCGCTGCATCCCCAAATTCAAGTGATTGCACAGGCTACCCTCGACTCGTTGGCCCATGGCATGGAGCTGCGCAACCTCTTGCCTGCCCTCATTGATTTGTACCCGAGCTGCTGCAGTCACGGTGCCGACTCGATGGTCCAGTTGTTCGTACTTGTGGCGACTATCGTGAACGGCATGGATCGTGCAGCAGTCAAGACACACTTGAGTGCGTGGATGCGCTTCTTCCTCATGGCGATGGACATCCGACGCACGCACCCGTCGCTATCCACCGACGTCGAAGACAAACTTCGCCATGCCATCATTCAACTTGTCCTGAAGCTCTCCGAAAAGCAACTCAAGCCGCTCTTTGTCAAGTTTGTTGTGTGGGTGGATGTCGTGCTGCCCGGCCAACAAGGACCGTCGCTGCCTCGACAAGCAGTCTTCTTCCGCCTTGTCACTCAACTAAGCGCTCAGTTGCGAAGCATCTTCGTCCCGTACTACGCGCACATCCTGCCGCAATGCGCAACGGTTTTGGCGTGGGGTCCGTCCCTGGGCTCGTCAACGAGCCATGACGAGGACGACGATGGGTTCTTCAAGCGCCCTTCCAAGAAGCAAAAGGTCTCCGAGGCCGTCGACGACAGCCTCAAGGCGACCGTGGCCGAGTATGTTGTGGAGGCCTTGGTCGGTTGCTTCTCGCATGACTCGGATGGGTTTATGGACAAGGAGAAGTTTGATCAAGTCATGCCGGGGCTCGTCGACCTGTTGGACCTGGCCGACGTTCAGCCGACCCTTGTGGGCCACGCAGTGACTGCACTGGCGCAGCTCGCATGGGCAGCCAAGAGCGATATACTGTGGAAGCCAATGCACCATCGCATCTTGATGAAGAGCCGAAGCGACAGTGCTGGCGTCCGACTGGCGGCGCTGCGAGCCATCGAACAGTGCTACAGCGTCGTTGGCGAGGAGTTCTTGGCCATGTTGCCCGAGAGCATTCCGTTCTTGGCCGAGCTGCTCGAGGACACGGACTCGACGGTCGAAACGCTGTGCCACCAGGTCATCAAGCAGATCGAGGACATTTCCGGCGAGAGTTTGGACCAGTATTTGACCGCGTAGTGACCCTGTTAACCTTATTTTAAATAGATTGCATCCACAACATGCACCAGCACGTTGGTGCGTGCGAATGTTACATTCTCTCATCCGGCCATGCCATCCTCGATCTCAGTTGGAACTCATGCCAAAAGGAGGATCACTTCACGCCAAGACAGTTTGACGCAGCGCACTTTGTTTCGACCATGTTTTGTCCGAGTTGAGCAGGTTGATGCAGCTTCATCAGGGTTACTAGAGCCGTCGCGGATGGCAAGTGTGCGTCGCCACGAGGAACGCCGCCGTCACTTCCTGACTGCAGTTCCGTCGCTGTTGCGCGCTGTCGTTCGCAGAGCCAGTATGTACCTGTATGTATGGTGTCGTTTTCCTTGCCACGGGGCTCTTTTGTGCGTCAAGGACGTGTGCATGTTGCAGCCCGAGCGGTACTCCTCCTTCGTCATCTTCGGTCGAGCTGGCGAACGTTGTTATCCGGATGATTTCGTCGTGTCGGTTGTGAACTCGGTTTCATCGGAACGCGCCGGTTGGGACAAAGGCCGTCGTCGGGATGGAGTCGAAGAGCGAAGTGGACCCGAATGACCGGGAGAATCGCATCCATGCGCGACGAGGACGGATCGAGATGCGGAACGCCAACAAAGATGACGAGAACAAGAAGAAGAAATCGTCGTCGTCGGATACGAAGAAGATGAGTCGCGGAGCGCAGCAGATTGCAGACAGTCTGAACCAACTCGACAAGCGAAAGGTGAGGTCTCGTGCAGCACCACGAGAAACTATCATTCAGTCGAGTGCAGATCACAGGGATTCAAGAAGTCACGGACATCCGCGTGCGGGCCGACGACACGGAGAACAACCGCCGTATCAACGAAGAAGACCGCAAGCAAAAGCGCATTGAAAAACTTCAACAGGAAGCTATCACGAGCGGGTCGCGTAATGCTGAGGTCGAGATGCGGTGGGCGGATTTGTACGACTACAACATGCCGCAGGAGCTTTTCAAGGTAGTGTTTCACCAACGCTCCATCGAGACGTGCGTCTCACCCACTTTGTCCAGCAACTGCAACTCCAGTCCGAAGCATGCGGTGCCATCTTGGCATCCAAAGACGCGCTCATCAAGGACTTTCAGACACAACTCAAGGCGAAAGACGAGGAGTACGTTGTCGCGCTGAAAGTGCAGGCAGACGACGTTGAAACCCTCGTGGACCGCATGAGCCAGCAGTACCGTGAAATGCAGGAAGAGTACGAGCTGGAGCTGGAGCAGATCGAAGATGCGTTCCTCAAGGTAAGTCAATGGTCTCGCCCAGGCAACAGGACATAACGAGGCACGACGTAGGAGCGCGATGAGCTGATTTCGACCAACAAGAGCGAGATCGACTCGCTGTTTGAGAAGCGCCGGGAGATGGAGATGACGTTCATGGAAGCCAAGCAAGCGCGTGATGAACTGAGCCAAAAGGAGATCGAAGACTTGCGGGTAAAGGATGCTGAAGACTACAACAAACTCAAGATCAAGCTCGAGACAGATATTCAAACGCTCGAGCAACAACTCGAAGAGGTGCGCCGCCATCGTTGTTGTCACGTTGTTCCCATTCGATCGTAGATGCGGGCCACGTACCAACTCAACACGGAGAAGCTCGAGTACAATTACCGCGTTCTGACCGAGCGCGACATGGAGAACTCGGCGACCCTGAACCAGCAAAAGCGCAAGCTGAGTCGACTCAAGGACGCCCTCAGCGGCCTGATTCAAAAGTACACGCAGACGGATGCACAGCAGCGACACCAAAACACAGAACTGACGGAGGACTACCGCCGCATCACCAAGCAATACAAAGACCTGCAAAAGAAGTTCCAGCATTTCGAGGACCACGACGGACTCAAGTACAGCCAGGTGTGGGAAATGCACCGCGCCGATGCGATGGACCAGATCGAGAAGGTCCTACAAGCAGACAAGATCATTCACGAGCAGCAGCTCGGGCTCGTGTGGGTACGTCCATTTGCATCGCAGCACCCCGACCTCTCAAGACCCGCGCAGGTCCCTCCACAATGTGATCTTCGCTACGTGGACGCCGGCGACCACAAGGCTGCAAGGTCGTCGGTAGAGGACGGATCGACGAATTCCACCACAGACGACAGCGGCGGGCCATCGAGTGATGGCGACAACAGTCGCAAGGTCTCGTCTTCGAAACTCAAGTGCATGCTCAAGATGCTCGCGTCCGAGGCAGGCTTTCTCGTGCACACAAACGTCCTGCAGGCGATCGACACGATGGACGAGGACGAAGCAGAGCTCGTGCGGGCCGATTCGATCCTTCGCTCGCTTGGGGTTGAGAGCGAAGGCGATATGGAGCGACTTCTCGGGTACGACTCCCATCGCGTCGAACGTTTGGCTTGACTGGGTCCTTCCTGGCAGGTATTTCTTTCATGACACCGCCGCTGCTGACGACGAAGTCGCGGCTGGCGACGAGCGGCCGCTGGGGCTCAAAGTTCAGGCAGATCAAGTGATCCAGACCATCAAGTTCTTCGTCGACGTAGAGTTGTCTAGTTGAACGAGGTCGGCACTTACGTTTGCGGTGCAGGAGCTAAACAAAGAGAAAAAAGCACAAGGTAGTCGACCCCGCCGCGCGGCGAAGGAAAAGATCAAGCTAGTGGACGACATGCAAGGCGAATCGCGGAAAGAAGACAAGCTTTTTTGGCCGCGCGCCCAGCGAATTCTCCCTGACGCGACTCAACGGTATGGAGTGTGGAAAATGGGAGTCGCAATTGTTATGAATGTGTAGGGTTTGGCTGGCCCTTGAGAAGGGGCTGACCGAGTACAACATGGTCCTCAAGCAGCGCAAGTCCCTCATCGACTCGGTTTCAGCGCTGCAGGTGCAGAACAGTGAATTGAAGGCGCTCCTGCGGCAGTATCTGGGGTCGTCCGTCAACGATGAGCTCCTCATTCCGCCCACGCAGATGATCCGTGTGCAGGAACCTCGGCATGGAGGGATGTAATACAGACTTATATCGGTATATACGACTGCAGCGTGGTCCTTTCGTCCAAGACCCAAGCACGATAGATTAGAAGACGGAAGAGGTGGTCATTTATTTGTCGTCGGCGATCGGGTTGGCGTGAATTGTGACGTTGTTCAGTACAATGTCCTTGAGCGGTCGGTGCTTTGAATCGACTTGGGCTTTCTCCATTGCATCCAGCACGTCAAACCCGTCGATGACTCTGTACATGATGCAGTGAGTGCCAAGAAAGTGAGCAACGACGGGGAGGGATGGAAGACGTACTTGCCGAACACTGTGTACACATTATTCAGGTGCGGCTGTTTCGCATACGTGATGAAGAACTGCTGCTTGTTTGTGTTCGCACCGCTGTTGGCCATGGACACAATCCCTCGCACGTTGTGCTATGGCATGGCGGTGAAAGACATCGGCAGGAAGCTACCATCATCGGGACAGAGCGTACTCGGTTCTGCGGATGGAATTCGTCGTCGATGGCACCGCCCCAAATGCTTTCCCCACCTTTGCCCGTGCCCGTGGGGTCTCCGCCTTGAATCATGAATCCTTTCATGTTTCTGTGGAATACTGTGTTGTCGTAGCTATTGCTTGCGCACAGTGCGAGGAAGTTCTGTCGGCACAATCAACGTGAAGGTGAGAAGAAATGATGTATGCTCAAAGAGAGCCTCACGGTACTTCTGCTGTTCGCGGAGCAGTGTCGCAAAACACCTCCATCTTGATGTCTCCCAAGGACGTATGCAGAGTCACGGACTGTGTCATGACCATGTGAGCCACCATGCTTATCCAACGCGTTGTCGGCGGCGACCTACCATTGTTGCTGCGTCGTACCAAGTCGAAAAATCTTCGTGCCCCGGGGCATATCACGACCAAAGCATTTGAAATCCCAGCATTCCATTATAGTAACCCCCATCATTTTGTACAAAAACCCAGACAACGTTATGATGCAACATTTGTATCTAAACCAAACGAGCACGGCGGCGACGACCTCAATTTTTTCACCATGTTATCCTGGCTTTGGTCGTGTTTGCATCACATGGGCATGCCTCCTTCCACCTCGCTCAATTACGGGTTTAGACATATCTCTACCGCGCTCTCGCGCAGGCTCGTTGTCTCCTCGATGCCCTTCCAGTGAATGACGAGGCTGTGGTCACGCGTACCCCACAAATGAAGCGTAGGACATTTTGGATCCCATCCCCGAACGAAGGGTCACGGCAGGTAGTGCGGCAATTGAATGGACCAATAGCGATCGTTGTGACGGATATTGGCTCACTGTCTTTCCGAAACCAGGCAACTTCTGGTTGAAATCGACGCAGAAAATCGTCTGGTTGCCGACGACAAAGCAGCAGAGCCACCCGCACACTCGTCCTTTTGCAGCCATGGGAACGCTACAAAAGATGTTTGGGGAATCGCACTTGGCGGCCTCCGTCGTCCTCCTCGTCCTCGCTCGTTGCGCGGATCGAGTCATCTACACGTACGTGGGACGCAAGAGGATCATGGCAACAATGGTCATAGAACTGCGGGTGTAGCCGCATCGCGTACGCTTACGGGCCGTTCTTGTGGTACTTTTCCAACATCATTTTGCCCATCGCGTTTGTCGTGACGTCGTGGCCGGTCGTGTGGTAAGCAACAACCTTGCATGGCGGCGCTCCTGACCTGGACGTAGGTACAAAATGGCATTTACGAGTGCGTTACACTTCATATGTCTGCAATTGCATGGGTTCATGACATGCTCATGTCGTCGCAGACGACATAACTCCTGAAATGCGATCGTTTCCGCATTACAAATACGCCATCATGGGCCTCCTCGACACCATCTACAACCTCCTCTCGGCCCTGCCGACCCCCCACCTCGGGTATTCTCGACAAGACTGACATTAAACTGGACCACGTTGTCGTTTTGGGTAGCGGGAACTTCTCGAACGTCCTGGACCAGCTCAACCTCCCGTTCAACATGCTCCTGTCGCTGCTGTTTCTGAACACGAGATACAAGCGGTGCCACATCCTGGGGGCGGTCTTGGTGCTGTACGGCGGCTTTGTGAACATGCTGCCGCTCTTCACGGGTGGCTCGACGCTCAATATGCCGGACCCAAGCGTCGGGTGGATCGTGCTCTTCATATCGTCGCTCGTTCCTGCTGCGGCGTCGAACGGTGGGCTGGTCACTCGTTCTCACTGCACTCAATGCCGTCTAGTGTACAAGGAAATCGCGCTAAAGGACGTGGATTTGGACATTTGGTACTGCAATGCGTGGACGAGCTTGTACCAAGTTTTTATCGGGATTCTAACGATTTGGACGATTCGAGTACGCCTCGCCGCATCGACCAGTCGACTCACTGGAACGGACAGGTACCTGCGCTGTGCGACCCGCCCGTGGCATGGCAGGACTTTCCAAACTTTGTCGTGCTTTCCCACGAGTGCTTCTTGGGCAACCCCGTCGAGTTCCAAGGGAAAACACTGGCGTGCAACGAAGGTGTATTCGACCTCTTCATGTGGTTTATTCTGTTCAACATGATCTTTAGCCAGGTACGTTGTCGGTCGCTCTGCGCGTGCTCACTTGGTTGAGCCTGCCGTAGTTGATGCTGTACATTTTCAAGGAAGGCAGCAGCGTCCTCTTTGTCGTGTCGTCAGCTGTGTGCCTCCCCGTGACGGACATTTTGTACATGTTCCCGTTCCTCACGGGCAAACAGGCGTCGCAGACGTTTACAATTTACGACGGGTTTGCGCTGTTTGTGCTCGTGGTAAGCGCTGCACCGTCTTGCTGTTGTGGCGCCCCCTTCGGTCGCCGTCGTGACCACGTCGTATTTGAAACTTGTGATAGATCGGTCTCCTTGTGTATCACTCTGAAAAGGAAACGCGCGTGAGCCAAGGCGGCAGCCGATCTGTGGAGAAGTCGCCGATGTTAACGTCGCCGACGCTGCAAAAGACGCATCTCATGCGCAAGGCGAAAGGTTGCATTCAACTCGTCACGGGAAATGGTGCCGTGATGCATTTCTGTTCTAGGCAAGGTTGTGTTCCACCAGAGCCCGTTGTTTCGAGGCCAGAGCCCTGGCCGAAGCTCGAGCGGGCGATCGCTCTTGCGCTCCAGCTCCCCCGCAAGAGTGTCATATGGCGCCACATCGTCGTCGTCGCCGTCTCCCCCCCGCAGTGGCCGAGCGAAGAAGACAAAGCAAGCGAGCGAGGCCATGGTGTAAACACACCCTTCGTCTATCCACCAGGGGCTGTGGTGCTTCGTCGACCTGGCTAACCAGCACTCATCCATAACGGAATGTCACACAGTTGTATGATGCAAGTCTGTCGCAGTGGTCATCGATACTTCGCTAACCATGGCCATGAGAGGTCGTCGAGCCGCCGTAGAGAGCAAGAATGACGCAAAACATACAAGTGTGCATGTACTTGGTCTGAAGGAAGTACGAAGTGCTGACGGGTAGGAGGGGTTGGCCAAGTTGCCACAATGTGTCAAGCTACAAACCAAAGGTTTCAGTACCTACCCGACGTGGGGAGTGGGAAAAGCTGCCATGAAGTTGTAGAGCGCGTCCCAAGAACGTCGACTTGTGGTTGGGGAATGCATGACATCTCGGGCGTTGAACACGTACATTCATGTCGAGAGGGAAGGAGGCCGAATTCGCACGGGCAAAGAACAACTTGCACCGCCAGCCACGATTCCACGGTAAACGCGACGACGGGTCAATGACGTTGGATAGTACTTGGACGATTGTCGAACATGAACCTGCCTGCGAGGTGATTGCTGCCTCGCGACTCTGTTGGCGTCTCTCCACGTACGTGGATACGACGAGGGGTCTATGCATCGGGCGAGAATGACCTGCACCAGCGCCATCATGAGCTTGGAGTCGGTGAAGCCACTGCCTCGCTTGATACAAACATGAGGGCCGACACCCACCGACAGGGGTCATCCGGATAATGGAGTGGCCGGCAACTTCAACGTGCACGGCGCGCGGTTTGACGAACTTATCCGGATGCGACGCTCTCGAAGGATCGGGGACGGGATTTTGCTTGGGGACTTGTACCGCACGGGGAGAGCGTAGAGGGCCAGCGCCGACGATCGACAGGGCGATGTACATGCGCTGGTCTCCCAAACAACAAGTAATTAGAAGCTCTTCGAAACGATACAAAGGACACTTTGGTCGAATGGTCACTTGCGAGCTTCAGGGCGTGATGCAATCACTGTGATCGTCAAGGGGGAACGACAAAGCCATGCATTGTGTTGGACTTGAGAAAGGCGAAAAGTGTAGAGCGAATGCACCAGCTACCGCTTTCCATGCCGCCCAACTTGTTCTCGTGGCCCTCCACGCCTGTGTGAAGCGCCACATGACTGCACATGACGACGGATGGCCACTCGCTCTCACTAACAACCATTCCAAGTACATGCATTCTCCAACCATCATTCCCAGAGTCTCGTCATGACGTGGTCATTTTTGAACGATGGGACAAGCAACGCCGCCGACAACACGATCGTGGGTGTTCAAGGAGTCGGACGTCCGCAGCCTGCGTGAATCCATCCCTGGCAAAGTGTTTGTGAGTTGCCACGACAGCAAGTCTAAAGTGGCGGCCGCCGGCACGACAGTCGTCCACGCGTCCGGCTCAGCGGCAGACCTTGATGCGATCCAAGCCCGTGTGCACTTGCATCGAATGGGTGGACGGGTGCTTGATCTGAGCGTCGATCCTGCCACTGATATAGAGGGACGGATTCTCATGGAAGTCTTTCTTGATGAGACGCACCCGCTCACGTCCGTCGAGTCCATCGGAAGCAGTCGCGTGGTGCTGGAAGACAGGACGTTGGCTCACTCTTCCGTGTCCATTCAAAAGACGGGAACTGGTAGCGTGTACGTCAACTATCTCAAGGACTTTAACGTCCAAGAGCTGTATGTCACGCTAACCGGGTCTGGGACCATTGCGTGCATCGTCCCCCAGCTCTCGGTCTCCAAGACGCTCGTGGCGACTGTTCAAGGGAGCGGCGGCATTCGATTCCACGGAAACCACATTTCTTCCGCTTCGATCTCGTGCACAACGACGGGATCCGGTTCGACACTATTCGATGTCGCAAACCTCGTTTCGTACGACGTCGTGTCGACCGTGGTGGGGTCGGGAACACTCCGATATGCCCATGCTGGGTCGGTGGACCAGCACCAACTGACGTTGTATGGGTCCGGAAAGATCGTGACAAGTGCGCTGTTGGCGAATCACGCGGCAGTGTCCGTCGTGGGGACGGGCACCATCGTCACACAAGCCATGGAAGCGTTGCACGGGTCCATCTCGGGCTCGGGGTGTGTCGAGTACGTGAAGCCATGCCCAAAGGACATGCAGGTCACGACCACCCCAGCGCGCAATTGTACCACGCATGTCAAGCTAACTGAGCGGAAAGCAGTCAAGATCATGGATCCGCCACCAATTCCGACGCGCACGGTCGAAGACGACTCGTTTTCGTTCAGCGGGTCGTTCTTCGGTGGCCGCCTCCAAGTGAACTTTAATCCGAATTAACCGGGAAGCAAAGCATTCCCTGAGGGACTCTGACCCGACAGACGCACATTGGCAATGCAATCCGCATCAGCGAATACCTTGGGGACACTACATCGTCCATCATGGCATGTAGCTGATGCCGAAGCTCACCGACATGATCAACTAAGAGGCGGCAAGACGTCCGTCGGGAAGCAGAGGCACGTGTTGTCTGTACAAATGCACGGGAATGCTGTTTCTCGAGGATTCCGCCACTTCGCCGGTGAGGCGGCGTCGGGCCACTACCCCTCGTGATCGCAAAGTCGTCTGTGTGTGGCGAATTATATCCCTTGCGTCCGTTGGCATCCTTGCTGCATGGACCTCATGCCTCGATGGACGTGGACGGTGCGGCGCCCGCTGCGACGAGTTGTGGTCGCAAAACATGGCTTGACCAGTGCGACATAAAGTTGTATGGATAATTAATTGGGTTTTTGCTTTGAGAGAGCGGGCTGCTTACGGCGGCGCTGGACGAGGATTCCGACAACGACAATCGTAATGGCGCCGACAATGCATTGGAGGAGCTTCGTGATGGCGTTTTCAAACTCGAGTTGTCGGAACCGCGTAACGCCCTCGACCGATTCGGACAGTCGGTGAAGAACGTTGATGAGCGCGATCATTTCGTTCCTGTGGAGAGGGGGCATGGTCGACACGTCGTCAGCGAGAAGGATCTTGATCGCCGTGCCAAGGCCGAGCACTTGAATCTTCCCCCACAGTCGGCACTTTTCGCACGTGACACAGTCCATGATGCGCGAAATGTTTTCAAATTTTTGCTTAAACTGGCGCCGCTGCCGCTCGAGGTCGTTTTGGTTGAGGAACATGTTCTCCATCGAATTGGAAAACAGCATCGTTTCGTTGAATCCAAACAGCACAGCGCGACTGTCGGACGGCGCGCGGCAGCTGGCATTGTACCTACGACACGAGCGGGGGATGAGAACTGGACGAGAGACGCCACGCAAGTCGTACGCGTGATTGTCAACATCAAAGAGCGACTTCAAGATCGTCGAGGCGCGCGCGTCGTCGGCGGCATTGCCAGTTTCAAAGTCGTAGTGGAGGAGAACGTCGCGGTACCGACCGACCGCGCGAAGGACAAACAGGTACGTAAAGTACAAATTCTGCAGGCGGTCGGGGAATTTACCCACTCGTTCAACAAACATCTCGGTGTTGAGTCCCCATGCGTTCCCCATTCGGAACTCCAACGCGATGTGCGTGCTGATGGACGCCTGGAGCCCCGAAATAAGTCGGTAAAACACGCGTTCTTCGAGGCACAGCTCCTGCGACACAAAGCAGTTCTCGGAGTAGATCGCCTTCCACACACGAGCGGCCGACAACCCGGCGTACCCTGTGAATCGTTCGGGGTTCTCGAGCAGGTTGATGTACACCATGTGGTCGGCATTCTCAGCAGGGTCTTTCTTGTCGACCCACGCTAGGAACGACTTGCCCACGGCCGCGTTAGTTCGGTCTACTTTAGACAGCTCGCCTTCGCCTTGTTGATCGTCGCAGGGTTCGGAGGAATGCCAACTTTCTCGTTGCTCCTTCTCAGCTTGGTCCTGTGCATACCATTTGGACGGGATCTCTTCAGATGGGCACTCGCACACGGAGCAATCGCGGTTCATGCATACGTTGTTTACGCTCCAGAACGGGCATTCTCGGTTTAAGTCGACTTTAAAGTATCGAAAGAACGACAGTTTGCGCAGTTCATCCAGGAGCGGATGAAAGTGCTCGATCGTCGCCGTGTTCACCGTCTCGTAGTTGCAGCAAGAGTCACCGACGCTGCCAGTCAATTCGGGGGTGCGGCACACGTGGCATTGTAGGTTGCGAACCACGTCTTGCGGGAGGAGGGCGCTGTATGTTCCACTGGTAGCTGTCGCAGATGCATTCAACGTCACAGTCGAGGCGATGGTTCCAAGAAGCGCGGCGCGGGTCGCCGACAACATGCCCATGATGGCTTGGAATCGAAAGTGTGAACGGCCACGCGCAAAAAGCGCTAGAAACGCGCAGCCGGTTCAGGCGAGTATACAAACATCAAGTAATCGAGCTGACGTGGCCGCTTCGAGAGCATTCCAAGAATTTTTTGTCGTAATATTCGGAAAAATCCGTCGAAATTATTTTCGCTACTTCGAAATCAATGCAAACAATGTATTCGACGCCATGTCATGGATCGCCCCAAGCGCGCGCACTTGAAGTGGCAAATTGGCGACACTGGTCGAATCTGCCAAAAAAATTGAAAATGTAGAATCAAACACTCAAGACAACCAGAGACGCTAGCGCCGAGTGAACCGAAGCCTTGCACAAGACCTCTGGCTCTTGGTGTGTGAGATTTTGGAACTCATGGCGTGTGCGATCGATATGTCGGCACCTTGGCATGATGATAATGTAACTTTGCCGGGAACCGTCTGTACAACAGATTGGCTGTAAAACTTGATGTTTCTTGACTTCGTAAAAAGGAGGAAACCAACTGTACGTACCAAGCACGAGGTTGGAGATCCAGTTCGTCCCACCCATAGCTTAAGCTTTGCAAACACCTTATGGTGCGTGACGAAGAAATTCACCTAGTGGGAATTCTGGCAGGATAAAAGTTTGGGGAATAAAGTAGTTTTAGTCGAAATTGAGTTGCTTTTCTGTTACTCTTTGTGGTACTGTTGTTTGATTGGACAAAATGATCCCATTTTCGTGAGAACAACGTTAAACAAAATACTACTAGTATTCGAAGAAATTACTTGACCGTTTAGATTCTGCGAGTTTTGATCGAATGCAGACAACAGAAATCCCATAGAAAATGAACGGCCGGTCCATGAAGTTGATCTTTTCCCACGCTATCATAGCTAGGCGCTTTCATCTGTTGTCACATCAAGTGCTTCGTGCAGCCAAATTGAGCGCAGCTCCCTCTTCAGAGGCCCCGTCACGCTCAATTCCAAAGGCTGGCAGGGGCACGAACACACTGACTAGTTTAGATGGCACCTTGTCGTGCGGAGCGTGGGAGATATGACAATTCAAGCTGTCGGCCACAACAGGAAAGGAACCTTCGGACTAGTTTCAACTTGTAATTTGAACGAGCCAATCATAAACGAGTACTTCAGGTCGGCCCTCATATGTCGAATGGATAGATCTTGTAATTTTCCAAGTTTTATACGTTTCCTTACCTTACGCCTGATTAAAAAAGCTTATAAATTAAAAAATCTCTCAGATGGATAACAATCGCCCACTCACGCATAAAGTTTAGGAAAGCCTGCGGGTCTTTGAGGACATCTAGCGCAGCTGAAGTCGCCTTACCAACTGGCATAGGCTGGGGAATTGGCATACACCCTCGAAAGATTATCTACCCTCGTTTCTCGTCGTGAATGGAAATCCAATTTTGCCTGATGAACATTGCAAAAATCGTTGCGTTCGTCCCATTGGCTAAAAGAGTGAAATATTGCAAAATGCCCATATTTAAATATATACTACGTACTAGTATTTTTCGTCAGATTCCACAAAGCATCGTGTCCATCGTTGCCAAAACCGCCAGCCAAAGACGACGCATGAAAGTTTCGCACGACGCCCATCACGTTCATTCATTCAACTCACACGACGACATAAATATGGTTCTAAACTACCTTTTCTCGCCATCTACGTGGTTGCTATGCAAGCCAAAAGGGCCCAGTCGTCGCTCGACAGCTTGGGCCCCGTCGCCCAGCGAGGGTCGGAAGAAAAGGGAAGGGGCGCAAACCGGCCATCGGCGGCGTCACCATCACCCAGGGTGACGGTCTGCATTTGGGTCAGCATGGGGGTCACCGACACCACGACAGGGTCGTCATGCATTGCAGCGAAGGCATCTGCCATGGATGCATCAATCGACAACCTCGAGTTGCTGCTGCTCTGTGCGTCCCCCGACGTGGAAAGCACCCCGGGAATCACCCCATGCAGAAGTTGCTCGTACGACGTCGTTTGTGATGATGTCATGGACAAGTACTCATCAAAGTCCACGGGTTTCGGGGCGCTCGCGCTGTGGCTACGGCGCAGCATTGGGGCTGCCGTATGTAGTGACCAGGTGAAGTGGGATGGAGCAGACGAGCTGCGCGAGATGGCAGGGATCGCATGCGACGGCACGACATTGACGGGTGTCGTGGAGAACGGGTAGTAGTCAGGCGTGGTCATGCGACGCGGAGTTGAGACCGGCTTGAGCCCGTACGTCTTGCGCTTGATAAAGATCATCGCGGACGGGTTGTCTCGTGTGAAAAGGGGCTGGCAGTAGATGTTGCTCGGTCTAGTCGGGGACGTGGCGCCGTTGGGCTTTTGCAGTTTTCGAAACCCAAAGTAGTTGAGTTGGCGCTGGAACGACGCAAACTTGTTGTGCCGAAAATACGTGGGCAAAATGTACTGCTCCATCACGTCAAAGTTGTACACTCCAAACGCTTTGCCGTTGTCGCACCACGCGATCACGGTCGGGTCTTCTTTGGACAGGATCTCGTACAAACTCGCGAGGAACGGCGGCGCTGCCGAATTGATCATGGTCGGAGCCAACGCTCGGCGAGGGGATGTTGGGTTGTACATAGAGGACGGCCAGTGAAACGAAAAATGACCACCGAGGAAACGAAAGGCGCGAAGGTCAGCATCGTGCAATGCCAGAGTGGGTTGACGTGGTACCAGAAAGATCGAGACACGTAGAGACCTAGCGCAGTGCGCCTATGGCCACATGGTCGTGAGCGCCAGTGACAAGTTACACGCTGCGTCACTCGAAGCAGATGCACACATGTCAAGTGTCTGGGTCACTTTTTCAACCGAGCGAGGCATGACCCATTAGAACGCGGTGTTGTCCAGAGCTCTCGATGGTTTTCCACCGGTGAACATGCCCCAAGAGGTGCCAGAGCGGGGCAGCCGACGCGTCCACTCGGCTCGAGATAGCCCGATTGCTCGTAGGTAATGCCGTCTTCAAGTGTACCACGTGGCAGTCTCACGGACCTGATACTGCGATCGGACCTTTCCCAGTGTGCCTCCACACAGTGTGTTGGCACATCGCCCTCATACGACGTGAGGCAGGACAAGGTCGGGATTCGGAGGGAGGAGATGTCGACGGTGCCATGTGCGGCATCAAGCCCAATGCTTCGGTCGGCCGGTCAGCAGCTACCTTGGACGTACCCCGCATGCTGACAGACTCGCCAGAGCGTGGGAATCGCCATCGATCGGAGTCACGAGCGGCCATGACGACACCGCGGTTCGAGGGCCAATTCGACGCCTGAGCCTCCGAGGCAATGCGTGCTTCACAGCCCTCAGTCAACGTCAACGTAAATTGTGCGTGCTCTGAACGACTTGATTGTGACTTGTACTACCGCGATTTTGGGACATTTGATCGTTGATCGACGAGTGCCAAAACAGCCACACATTGCCATTGCATCCAGAACCTCCGAGGTTTTCCCTCCGACCGGGGGGCAAACACTCCAGGACGTGCTCATGGTGGCAGGGCAGTCGAGGCCATGGGCACATTTATGAATGAGCCCTGCGTTGTGTAGACACATCTCCATTCACGGTTTGTACAGCATGCCCCACCCCCCGAACAACTTTATTCCACAGGGGGCTTGAGCTGGGGCTGCTTGGATGCAGTACACAACACAGGGTGGTTTCACATCCCCCGGTGCTCGCAAATCCGGTCGCGCTATGAAGAAATTCCCCTCATCGCTAACGGTCGTGCAAGTCACCCACCGGCATGGTGGCGACGATGACCTGGTCGACACAAAGCAGCGCAGCCACTGGGCGCACTCCATCATCTTCAGAATTGAAGTGGGGGCTACGGCATCGTCACCGGCCGTCCTTTCGGTTGGGTTTGAAATGACGGACGACAACGCGACATTATTTCGTCCTGGATGCCTTGTCAAGTGCCTCCTTGGTGTAGTACAACAACGACGCTTTGTGAGCCTTTCCACGCCCCAGCGCATCCATGAACTGAATGCATTGACAAAATCACCTGCGATATGCCCATCGCCAGAGGTGGCAACTGTAAACTCAAGCTCCATTCCACATCAACTACTTCTGCTCTCATGCGATGTGAAGGCGTTCAGGTAAAGTGGCGTGTGCCATCGAAGATATGCAGTTTGTCATATACGTGCGGCAAACTCTACGTTTTGAACATGGTGGTGCACTAGTCGCGTGCTAGGCATGAACTTCCCAGCCAACCTTGCACAGCGAGCGACACAAGGGCGATAACTTTATCGCAATGGCGCTTGCCAAGTGTCGCAAGTCAACGACAAGTTCCATTCATTCATTCCATACGGGGCCAATACAGGGGGGTGCTTCGCGTTGACAACACTTCGAAGGCTCAATCACAGGACGACGCTACACGCGGTATTCGTGCCCAAATTCAGAATCAGCTCCTCGCAAGGCACAGCGAAGGCACCTTGATGGTGTCCCTAAACGGATTGGGATGGTCCACTGCACCGACCTTTCGTGTGAAGTGACTTGGGGGCTATTGAGGTAGGGGGTGTACAAACGAGGACTCCCGACCGCAGCTTGGCCGCACGTAGTCGTTTTGGTGTTGCACGACGGGCCGTGCTGGGCAAAGCGGGGAAGGCACGAATAGTAGCTCATAGTGTCTGCCTCGATCAACTTTCGAAAGCCAAAGTGATGGAACTGCCGCTGGAAACGCGACAGTCCGTTGAGTGAAAGTACATGAGCGAAAAGATTCGTTTAACGGGGGCGTCGCAGTCGTGGACCTCACAAACGCTTGCCCATCAAGTGTGGGGCTTCGTTATTCAGCAGGTGACGAGGAAGGGGGGGGCATCGCGGGGTGCTTGGAAAGTAGGACCTTCGGTGAAATCGACGAGGACTCATTATCGTCGCGCAGAGACGCTTGACTCTGCATACATGACCCCAAATTGTCAGAACGCTACAGTGCTCAGGTCGGCGGGCTAGACGAGAGATATCCCAACACCTGCTTCATGTGGGACTACTTCGAGGAGACACAAAGATCGAGGCCACGATGGCGAAGGCGTTCGTGTGCCCCTTTGGATCAGAACATCATCATCGCTGCCAAAGCACAGCTTTTTCATTTTATTGCATACAGGATTCAAGATCAAATTGATCTTTTCAAAATATACCCATTTCGTCACGATTCAGGAGTTCACTGTCAAATCGTATTTTGGGACGGTGGGTGTAGGGAGTTTAGTTGATAGCGCAGAGGAAATTTGGAAGTGATTCAATTGTCATCGTTAAATCGTTATAGCCGACTTCTACAGACCACGCACACTCGACGTCGCGACATCATCAGTTAGGTATTTAGTCGCTACATTCCCCCCCCTGATGTCGCCTTGGACTTTCTTGTCTTCTCGCGTAGGTCTTGGGCAAGGTTCTTGAAATGCGCAACGTGCTTGATTGTTC